TTATGACTATTATATTCCATTTCTGCCTATAGATCCTCGTAATGTTACACAATGGACCATCAAGACTCAATGAACAGTATTTCATGTGTCGAACACTCACCTGACATGGAAGTTTTGGACATTGACATTCCTGTAGGGGGCAGTCTTCCTCTGACACCACAGGAGGAGACCCTCCTTGGCAGATGTTTCTGCGGAGAAAGTGAGTTCACAGGCATTGGTTACATCATATAGTGTAGTTCTGCGCAGGTCACAAATTGCTTTTCCCTTTAAAACTTCCACATGTACATTTTATATTCTATGTTGTTATAACTAAATTTGCATTATTTGGATTTAATGATCTCACCTTCCACAGAAATATCCTGGATGGCAAAGCGGAGGATGATAGTCCAGATCATTCCTAGAGTCATCTTAACATTCCCGTCCACAATCTCTGAAAGGGAAACAACCCGTTACAATCAGTTTGCACTAGAGCGAAGGAGAAAATCTGACTATCACTCATGTTTGTGAGTTCATATTGGACATATGATGGCCTGTAGTATATACACATATACAGGAAGGCTTCGGGTACCTTCAGCTCCAATGGAGACCAGTTTCACTCCTTTGCTTGTGATGAAGTCCAACGCTTTGTTGACGTTAGCAATCTTATGAAACCGCATCTTCCCTCTGTCTGGCTTAGGTAACCGCTCTCCTGCAAACAGAACATTATGTGACAGAGTCAGATACGTATGTAACCGTGTGTGCTCATTACCAAAAAACTGTTGTAATTATATTGTATTAAATGCATGTTTATCCTACTGGTTAAGTATCACAAAATACAAATCATTGAAAGGAACTAAGAAGGTATAAAAGAAATGTCTTCCTTTAGTGAGCTAACCTGAGATAACTTCCAGGAGCAGCATGAGTTTCAGTCCATTCCTGAAGTCCTCCTCAATATTTTCAATCTGAGTACCAGCTTTCCTCAGGTGGGAGTTACACCAGGCTGTGAAGGTCTGACAGGAAAAGGGTCGGTTAAAATGGGATTTGCTAAAATTTCAACAAATGAAGAGAACTGTGTGCATGAAAATTGCATTTGCTGTGACTGCTGATGCTCCTTAAATCCTAAACGCTTTAAATCTCCTTTACATTATACGGATTACACTATGAGCATGATATTCCTCTCTGCAATAGACCTAAACAAACCGAGGCAGCTAACAGCTTAACAAGTCTTCACTATACCAAATCGATGTTAACCTCTTTGACCAGTGCTACATTTTCAGATTAACCCTCAGTGACCCATCAGTGTCCAATTTCAACTTTTTTTCCATGGATAACAACCATCAGAGCAAACACGCTCCAATGTGGGGTACTGAAATACTGTAAATCAAGTTAAGACGGGATCATTGTCTTTCTCCTCCTATTTTTATAAAGTCTCTCAATAGCCAGCAGCAGGGTTCACGGGCACTCAGCACCGCACGGATGAAAGCTGGGAGCCGACCACAGAGCACATTCCGACCGATATAAGGTGTTAAATTTAGACCGCTCTGCTGTGCCTCACGATAAGAGACCTGGAGGGAAAAACGTCAAAACTTCTCGCTGTGTCAACATGAGCGCACATGTCACGTGGACACAAGTTTTCCTCTCACGTCACTTTCTGTCACTATTTTGCCACTTGTAATGTGGTGGGCCACAGCTGCGAGGAGATAGCTTTATCGCGGTACATGTATGCAGCTCTTCCAGGTCAGCCTCGTAACTATGCTGAGGTATGAAGGCAGGCAGGAATGGATGGAGGATGGGGAGCGGAGACAAAAATTCCAATTTAAAATCATTTGAAGGATGATGCCACAAGGAGGATCAGTCATGATGTCACAAATGCCACAATAAATTAAACAAATACATTTAAATAAGCTACTATCGTCAACTAGAAATTAAATGTTTATGTTTATAGGTGCTATTAGAATAGTCAGCAGTTAGTATAGTACATTTTAAAACATTTATTAGAGAGTTATTAGAACTTAATAGTCATTCAGGAAAGAATGGAAGTAAGAGCTAGCTTTACTTTTGGATTTTTCACATCTCCACATATCTTTATTTTGCATTGTTTTGCACTTTATTTGGCAATTTAAATGCAAAATGTTTTATTTTTCTAAGAAGTAACTTTTACATGAGTGTATTTTTACACCTGTAGTTTAATTGGCTAATACATAAATTCAGCAAAGTGACTGAATACTTTTTCCAGGTCTGATTCCTACACAACCCAGTGCGACTGTATAAAAGGTGCCCAGCCGGCCGCTCAGGCTTCCCCTCTGGGTGCCGGTGCAAAAAGAGAATATTACAGGCTTTAGAGTAAAGGCCATCACATTCCACCCTGAGTGAGTCCCCGGGGGAGTATGTGACATTGAACTGCTGCCCTCCTTGTTAAAAAACGTGGACTGCTGGTCCTCCATATTTGACTCAGTCGTAGAACCCTGCTGCCCACTTTCCAAGCCCCCCCCCCAGCACTACTGACCAGTGACGATTAAAGCTAAAAATATTTATGAATCACTTCCAGCGAGGACCAACCCTGTCGCTGAACTGGCCGATGCCTTTGGGGCCTCACTAGGTCGGAGGCTAGGCTGTATCCGAGAGGATGGAGAGTAAATGAGAACCCAATGTTCGGAAATGTTAAAAAAGAGAAAGCCTTATGAATGAACTTCTTTCATTGTGACTTCTATTTAATTTAAATATTCATATTCATTTCTTATCCATAACACTCAATATAACACGGCCCTCTGGCAGTGCAGGCTTGGCTTAAGTGTGAGTATCAGTCTCTGTAACATGAATGGGCCACTGAAGGCTTTATCAATCTCCTTGATAAACCTGAGATTAAAAAAAGGTCCACATAAGCACCATCACAGTAATATCCACTGAAGGAGAGCTACAATAGGTGCTAGTAGGATTAAAAATAAGCTCACGGCACCATGGCTTGAGCTGGATAAGAGATTTAAGAAATTATTTGGAAAAAGTGACTTTAAGTTGCCCCTTGTGGAGTAAACAACAGCCTAGTGGCAAAGCTACTGCTCAACGCCAAGCAGCGTATAAGGTATAGTAGCCAAGCTGTCTGGGCACGACAAGTTCATCACAGTGCCACAGAGAAACACTATACCAGTGTTACTGACTGTATTCAACCATCATTTATCAGTCCTGAACATTTTGAACAGCTGCTCCCAGAAACCAAACCACTCTCCAATGAGCACTTGTCAACTCCAAATTATAATCAGTAAAACAGATAAACATTGGAAACACAACTGTGTTATGTGTTATGTCTGTTGCTGCCTTGTGATACCCAAAAATACACAGTTTTGTCATCCTGTGGGGGCCACAGGAGGTTATAAGGCACCTCCAGTTGTGCAAAGAGCTGCAGTATAAAGGCCCAGGCCAACATTTTAAAGCCCTAAAACCAACTGACAGTGCGGGAGGGCCGAGGCTATATCGAGTTGAGCTGGTGGTTCTGGTACAATATTTCTGCATGGTTTCTATAAACAAAAGAATTCCGCGCCAAGGACACTGGATTAACCCTACTATAATGCCTTTTGGTCCCGGGGTTAAAATTAGATGTAGCGTCCATTCTAATCCCAAGAGCGTCATCATGTGTTAGAAGCATCTGTTGACAGCTCGCATTCCGCGCGTATCAGTGGAGAGGCAGCAGTCTGGAGAGCCGCTGGAAGGCAGAGCTATTGTTAGCTGGTACCCACCGCATCCGTCCGTCAAGCCTCCCACCGTGGACCCCGGCTGCGCCATGCCAGCAGCAAGCAGCTAGAACCACGCCGGAAGTAGGGTGATGCTGTCCTTCAGAATAAGATTGCATGTGAACCTTCTGCTCGTTGGTTTAAAAAAATATAAAATAAAAAGCTGCCCGGCCTCCTTTTGAGGATTATGTCGTTTTGCGTAGCTACTTAACGTAAGTTTCATAGCTAACGTTATATACGGCCGTACTTAAAGTTAACGTAACGTTATATACCGCACCTATCTGCTATAAGCTTACTTTGACTATATATCCGTTTTTCTACTTTAACAGTAACGTTATATGTGACTTACGGGTTATTAACGGTTGTCAACGGTTACTGAATATGTGCCTTACCCCACGTACACACAATAATTATATAAGTGGAAATGTTTATTAATTTCGCGTCTATGGTCAAAGAAACATCAAATTACTTTAATCCTGAAAATGTTAGGTTCAACATTCTTTTATTTTGAAACTGCTAACCGGATATTCAGCCTTTTAGCATGGTGTGTTTGACGTTACCCCGACAGAGCTTTCTGAAACTATATTTTCCGATTCTGTCAGCAAATTACTGGCAGAATATACGATATTTTTACTTTGCTTTTATTAATTAATTAATTAATTAATTATCTGCACTTTGAAAACCAACTTTCCATTTTTCTTTCTTGGACTTACTTTCCTCTGCTGTTGTTCCCAGGCAGGGTCAAGCAGCATGTCTCTGTCCCACTCATCCTCCTGTAACATATACTCCTCCTCGTAGCCATTATCATAGTGCACCGTGGTCTCCACCTGGGTCATCATAATTGTGCCGTTAATTTCTGTTCCCCCGAAACTCAACTGCGTGTTGTCCTTCAGGACGGACAGCTGTGTCAACTATAATGGTGAGGACGGGATAGTTTCCTGACTTTCTCTTCTCTCTCTCTCTCTCCGAGCTGTTACTTCTTCTCTTTCTCTCACGCTTGCCCTTGTCCTCCCGACCTGACAGACGTCTGGCCCTGGTTGCCACAGATGAACAAGCGACGTTATCATTAGTACTGCAGAGTCACGTGACGCCTTCATACCTTCCCCCAAAATCCCCATCTCTCTCTCTCACTCACACACACAGAGACACACACACACAGAGAGAGACACACACACACACAGAGAGACACACACAGAGAGACACACACACACACACACACACACACACACACACACACACACACACACACACACACACACACACACACACACACACACACACACACACACACGACAATTTATTAACTTGAGATCAATAAAATAGTCTTTATTGTAGAAAAAAAAAACAACACAAAACTGGCTTGGGACATATAAATAATGTTTCTTCCTTGGAAGCCCATATATTCTAACACTGGTCACCACTAACACTGTTACAAGCCCCACCAGAATCATTCACTCTATAAAATAACAGGGTATTTAAACCTGTCATGGCACAATGTGGTGTATCCAGTACATGTTCTATTCGTTTTTGTTGCTCTGACAGCTGATGGTCACTCAGGATGAACAATTTGAACATGTTAAATATAAACACTAAACCTCTATGCAGAATTGGGATGTACGTCACTCTCTGTGTTCACTGTAAGTTTGCCCGTGCATTTGTACACACCTTATGTTCAACTACAATACATCTAACATCTAAATCTTAATAGTGTGACCATTCAAATGAGTAAAAAAAACACAGTTTGAGGCAGACCAACAAAGTGTGATATGTCAAAATGTACTGCACTTATGTCGGTTGCATCAGATGTGATTAGTTACACAACTTATAGGGAATAAAGTGTTATCTTCAACCAAACACTACCCTGGACTGCGGTCAGATTTCAACTTTTTATTTTGGACATTTTCTTATGTGCTGTGTGTCCTTTCATTCCTTCCACAGAGCACCTACTTTGGTTTTTGATTCTAGGTTATCGGAAGCATAGGTCGCTACCACATGTAAATAAAGAGAGAAATGCTGGGATCTTGCTGCATACCTATTGTAAAGTCAAATGCAAGGAAAGGTCACAATTAATAATAAGCCAGTTTGAGAAAAACAATTTTACTAAGAAATATTTTGCAGCCCTGTTGTTCAAAATGTAAAAAAAAAAAAAAAAAGAAGAATCCTTTAATTTTCCCAAAAACCACAGGCCCAAGTGCTCTGCTACTGAAATGAAAGGAATACAATTAACCAGACAAGTCTCTTAAAAAGCTGAACTGTCCCTTTAAGGTTCAAACAGGCAGGGCTGGTCCCTACAGTCACTACTGAAGGATAACCTCACCACAGAGCTAGAGTTCATACAGAGTGCAAAGAAGGACACATGGGAGTGAAAAGGGCACGAGTGTTTCTCAAAACCATCCAACAACCTTAAGAACGTGTTATCTCTCACAGCGATGTTAGTACTGTCCAAGGGGCTCGACATTAACCCAAACAATCTCAGGGCTCAGAGCATAACAGCTGGGGGAAAAAAGGGAGTGTTTGTAGTGAGGGAGTGAGCTATTTGGACCCCATGTATCATCTGTGATCTGCAGCAGTGTTCTTTGGTCCTGGGTGGTTCACAAGGAAGGGGAGAGAGGGGCAGGGAGGTTTTTCCATTATTCACTTTCACTGAGGCCACAAGGTCGCCGCCATTCCTGGCCTCGTTCATGGATCCATTTGTTTGATACTAAAACACAGAAAAAAAAAGATTATTGCATTACCATAATCTAGCCCTTTGATTACTTTAGACACAAAATGTTTACCTTATGTCTTCCTTTCTCTACGCACAAAAACGTTACCAAAATGGTGTACGCATATTTCCACACAGAAGTTGGGATTTATACAGAAATTATGTGCGGTAAAAAGTGTGTGTGAATTTCTACGCATGCTTTCACCCATGTGTAGAGCTGTGTGTTTTAAAAATGTTTTTCAGACACGAGAAACAGCAATGTCAGATGGTGAGATCATGAAATAAAGCTTAGTCCTCATGAAAAAAAACACATGAAATACAAAATGCACATAGATTAAACAGATTAAATATAAACGCACATCATGACCACATTTCAGGATTTGCGTGCCCCTAATTGATTGAAGCCTCTAGTTATTATTATTATTACCACTACAAGTATAGACAAGAATACTAAAACAAACTGGCTGGCCAACCGGACAACACGATTTCTCAAAAACAATAAGTGCTTCTTGGTGGATCGATATACAAATTAAACACAGACTCATAACACTGTTAATTCTATGTCATGTTTGTGTGACAGTATTTGCCGCACGGTTTTACATATCTGAATAGTTTAAGATAAGATATACCTTTATTATAACCCCATAGGAGAAATTCAAACCGAATGAAACTGGGTTAAACCACTTTGAAAATGAACCGATCTCATTAAATGAGATGTATTGGTGTGGATGGTTTTACAGGGAACCAGAAAAAGAGGAGCTCACCCCACTTGTTGCCGACCAACACTGGACAAGCTGCATGTCGGGTGCTGTAGTCTCCCTCCCCGCTGGCAAACAGATTGTACCAGAACACTGCGGTGCCCTGGAACACACACAAACAACAGACAACAGAGGTTAACAGTGTTGCAAACCCTCCAGGAATAGCCAGGAATCTCAGAACGCCACAGTCTGTCTCCTAAATTAATTTCCAAAGAAAGATTCTGAGAAGTATAAAATAAAACTTTGTTTCTGTAACAGGAATGAACAACACGTTGCTTATAGTACATGATCCGATTTTGCATGGAAATGTTACCCTAATTGAAGGTTGTGTTGTGTGTACTGAGTGCCCCTCACCGAGTCCCAAAAATAACAGGCACAGCATTTTGTACAATTATATTTTGTTATTTATTAATATTTTTACTGTGTACTATAATTCAAAACCAACAAAAACACCTGATAATCAGTTACAGCATTTAGTTGGTTATATAACACGTTTATTGTAATAAGTGGTAGAACATAAGCGGTTACCTTTTGGGGCCAAACTGCTGCACCAACATCTGGGAATACTGTGGCTCCACCAGCTGCTACATCACTCATCTACAACAGAAACCGAGAGGCAAAGAGAATTCAGTCTCTATCTGTTGTTTCAAATAATTCTGTCGTCCTACTAAATACATTTGTGGAAGCTCTAGGGTGATGTGACTGCAATAGTTACTATAAGATTGATTCCAGGGTGAAAAACACACATTTAATGATTCTGTATTTTCTCTCGCTTTCAACAGAAAATATCACTGGTTATATATTTTTTATATTTTCTTTCCCTATTCCAGCAAATCTAACATCCTCCCCACTGCATCATCATAGAAAGTCCTGCTTTAATTCAGATGTTATTTTTGTGACAGCAGAATTTTTGCACACTGGCCAACCCTGTAATCAGACATGATAGATAGTCCTCGTGTGTAATAACAGGGTGCCACCCTGAACGAAAAACCAAAGGTGAAAATTTATGGTGAGCTTCATTCACCCATTTCACTGGCTCAGTCTATATCTATCTTTTCTAACTACAGGGAATACATTTTACTCCACACCAGGTGAGAGAGTTTACTGTCCCACCTTGTTAAGGCCTCAATTTTATTAAACCTACCCTCAACATTGATAGGTTAAAACTAATCAGACTCCTTCAGTCACTATAAATAACTAACTCTAACTCTAACTCTGCAAGGGCCCTGTGCTTTTTTCACCAGTAATGTAATGTAGATTATTAATGGCTGTATCTTTTACTGGTATATGCTGTAAAAGTCCTTAAAAGAAGTTCATACATGTATATAACGAGTGTGTGATTGAGTGTTATCTGTACAAAAATTGATACAGTACTTGGGCAGGCACTTGGTTATCTTGCAATCTAGACTCATGCGACAGTATTCTTTCACATAATTTTCCATAGAATGTTTTAAAGTTTATACAAATTGTTTATTTCACACTTTATTGTGTATTTTCTGTTTCTGCTTGTGCTGCTTAATGATTCCTATAATGAGTGAACTATATTTATGGCTGGACCATTACTTCATTATGTCATTTTATACATATAGTTCATCATGAGATATGTGAAAAAAATAGACTAGAACTTAAAATAACATTCTGTGGGTTTGAACAGTGATTATTCTCACAAGATGCATTTGTGAAAACAGACCCACCAGCATTTCTGACACGGTTGAAGAAGGTTTGGTCACTGTATACATTGAATTTAAAGTTAACAACATTGGAAGAGTTTACTCACGTAGAAGAGCCATGTTGCTATGCGGTTCCCAGTGCCAAGCTCTTTAAAGGCATCTGGCTCATCTTTCTGTGGCGAGAGACAACATCAGATTGTTCCGACATATTAACACAAACGTGCTGCGTTTATAGAAATTACACCGTGTAAATCAACAAAGGGGCTTACCCTTCCAAAGTCAAAGTGAGGTTCGTATTGACCTCCAACACCATAATTTGCAACCTACAGAGATGAAATATAATGTGAGTCTCTCACAGACTGTACAAATCAGGACACACACACACACACACACACACACACACACACACACACACACACACACAGAGGGGCAGGGGGATTATTGATAGAAATTATTTTTACATTTATATAAGGAATGTTAATTCAGTAAAGTTTTGCCTTGTAAAAAATAAAATACAAATCAAAGAAGAAGAAAAACACTGTGTTTAATGTCCACAACATTCAACTATTGAACCAACTCCTTACCTGCAGCTCTTCTGCAGTGTCCATTTCCAGCCCTGTGAGATCTTCAATTCTCTGGTTGATCTTGTCAATCATTGGATCTTCATAGGCAGTGAGCCAAGCACTGGAATACAGGAGGAAAAGCAGAGCGATTGAGAAAGAAGAGGAACATGCTATACAATGTGTCAGTGAGACACATGTTTGTCCACTAGATGGCAGTAAAGATTTATTCTTAAAAGGCAACAGAAAGACATGTCATGCTAAAAACGTGCTATTAAAAGCTTAGAAAGTGAAGTTGGGCTTTACAATCAGATGACAGAAAAGGGAAGTGGAGGTATGAAGAAAATGAAAAATAGAAAACCAGCCCAAGATTCAGAATCTCCAATCAGCTCAGGGTAACGTCGGCTTGTTCTGAAACTATGTGTGCACGTGAAAATGTTGAAATTTTCGTACAAGAGTCTGGTTGAGGACTAGGTCAAAATATTTTCATGGATGTAACTTTTCTGACACTACTCGCCTTTAATACTCTCACTCACTCTCACACGCCAGTCTAAGAGAAGGCCCTTGATAAAATGGCACACCTGTAGCTCTACAGACCACATCATAAAATTTAAACGAGCATTTTGTCTGGTTAATGTGTTAAAAGGAAACAGTATCCACATAAACTGTAAAACCATGCATAAAATATTACGATAGAACTGAAGATACAATTTATATTAAGTTACCAACACATGTGATGTGGGTCAACAAAGACAGAATCAATTGCTTTTAACACACTGTCAGATTTAGGGGATTTTAACACATACCCCCCACAGTCTCATGGATGTGTATGGGAGTGTGATGACTCATCTTTTTTATTGAGTAATATTCAGACTCAGAAAAAAAAAAAAAGTACTATTTTTGAAGGGATCCTGGGCCAAAAGTGAGACTTTTTCCCCCCTGATGTGCTTTGCAGCCAGTTCAGAGGGCGGTCAAACTCCATCTGTCTGTTCTTTTTATCTCTTAATGTTCACTGAATTTGGAAATACATGCTGGCTAACACGTACACATACAAAAACATCAAAAAGGGACACCACACCCTTGTACGCACACTCTTAAACATTAATTACCAAGAACAGAAAAACCAAAGAAACTTGGGGGTTTTGGTGGCATGTTAACCCGGCTATTTTTAGGGTTCATGCTTACAGCTATATTTACAATAGACAATATGTCATAACTAACAAAGCAGAACTCTCTTTCTACATATTTGAAGCATATATCTGTGTTTTTAAGCATCCAGACTTAGAAGTTTCCTAATGTCTAATGCTGATATGGAAGTTAAAGAAGCATAGTAAAATCGCAGCAGCTGTAATGAGCTCATATGAGAATGTGATTCAGAATTATTCCTGGAAAGCGCAATGGGGAATAGAGATTCAGTGCTCTGGATCTCAAATAACCTGGGAAGGATTGCTGGGGGAAAGAAAAGAGCTTGTGACCATGCAGTTTCATGGAAGTCTCTAAATCACTGGGTAAACTGAAAGAACAAAGAATATTTCAGCTATGCCAAAAACCAACAGCAGAGGATTGTTCAGCTTAGTTTGAAATGTATTTTATCTCAATTTCAAGTTTTCACCAAATGAAATCCTTTAGTGTTGGTTTTCCAGCTGTAGCTAAACATTTTAATTTTTTTTTCCATGGTTTACTGGGTGCATGAGTGTTTCAGGGGAAGGCACTGTCATAACCTGTTACCCCTTACCTCTTGGAGACTCTGTAATGGGCCGTAGTAAGTTTCCCAGTTTGTGGGTCATGCACCGTGGCTCGCCTTAACTACAGTAGTTTCCCCAGCAGAAGGACACGGAGGTTGAGGAACAGGTGAAACAAAAAGGAAAGAAAAATAGGACGATGGAATGTGATACACACAAGAGGACGAATGGAAAGTAAGTGGAGAAAAGAGGGAGAGAAAAGACAGGCAGAACTGGTCACTAGTTGTCAATTTTATTCTTAAGAAGGGTCAAGAGAGTGTTTCATGAGGCAATGCTAGAAAACAAATTTCCATTTTAAAATAAAAAAATATACCAGTAGGGAATAAATGAGTGCCCCTGATACACCTCTTGGCTCACAAAAAGCAACTATGTTAATATCAACTAGTCCAAAACGTAACACATTTTCTCCCTCTTCCATCTACCTGTGTTACCTTTCTGTAGCAGGCTCCTGAGCAGAAACATATCCACAACAGAGCCTCAAAAAACTAGATGTACATTAGCTCTAGGAATGCATTTCCTTTTTTCTCTCATTTCTGTGTCACTGGAAAGCATCACGAGATGATATATTTACATGGAACATGCTTTATAAACAAATAATATTCTACAAATGTGTATATGCTGTGTAAATATTTGATCATTCTCAGCTGGATCCTGTCTTTCAGCTCAGGAGCCTTTAAGCTTTGGAAGGGTGCAGAAATTGAGTTAAACGTATGGATGGGAATACAGAGGAGAAATGATGAATTCTTAAGGGAAAAGGGTGAAGAATATCCCACTTTCTCCCTCTCAGCTCTCCCCTATATCCTCTGTTCTTGGCGGCTCCTGGCTAAGCCTTACCTTTTGCTGATCCGGTATGGAGCTGTCTCCAGCACTCCTGTGATGGGGTTGGAGATGGTGGCCCTGCGTAGCTGTGAAGCCAGGGACATGATTTACCCACACAGATGCAGACACATAGACACACACACACAAAGATGTGTGTGCCTGTGTGCTTGCCTAACTAGCAGCATCACACCAGCCAGCCTCACAGCTTTGACCTCCCACCCCTCATCACAATTAACCACATAACAGACACTGAAAAAGGCCTAACGAATGTTCCTACTAGATCACATTAAAACAGTAAAAGTGACCGATATAGCTTTATACATGCATCATATGGCATCATGGGAGCAGTACTGAGAATTGCTTACTCGTGGCTTTGCCAGTTGCTTGACCCTCTCAATTTCTTTGTCGGAGATGATGTCAAGGTAGCGGACGATGTAGGGGCGGTCCCACTCGTCTTGCTGTTTGGCGGGTGCCAGCACATACATGGGGTTGTGATTGTTGTCATGGTAACGACAGAACAGCCGGCTCCACCTGCGCGGGGTCTTATTGAGACAATAGGAAGGCAGGGTACAAAAGTGTTGAAACTGATGTGTATTTTCTATGTTAGAAATTGTGTTTTTGCGCATCTCTTTGTCTTCCTTACCATTCTGTTGCCCTCCCCACGACAAAGCATCTCGTACTTCTTCCTCTCTGGGATCAAATGATTGGAGACTTTTTTGGGCTTCTTCCGCTTTTCAGCTGTTTCTTTTTTCCCTGGCTCCTTCTGTTTATGACTTACATCCTCCGCAGCGTTTTTCTGCTTCTCCAACTGGAACTCAAAGTACTTCAGGTTGCCTTTGGCCCGCTGGTGCTCTGGGTCTGAGAGAATAATAGTGGTGATTACAAACAGTGATGACTGCAGCAATGTCACCTAAGAATATCACAGCCCCGTAATCAAAATAACTGAGCTTCCAACATGACATGATTATGTGCTATTTATTCAGTCTGACCTTATCCAGTTCTCAGAAACAAGATGGACAAACAGAGCGAATTAATTCAGAGGCTCATTTGGGGGGAAAATGTGAGATAACAAGGTCACCAGAACACTGTTTCACAATGACTTGAAATGTATTGCTGCAGTATTACTAATTATTAATCAAGAATAAATGCGTTGGGTTAGAAAGTGTGAAGTGAATTCCACTACACCAATCACCAACTCGGCAAACTGGTCCACCAGCTACAAAAACCGAAATGTTGTGATCCAATCTAAATGGATGCAGGTTCTACAATTATTCACTGTCAAATGAATAAAACACATAAACCAAGACCTCTCTGATTACCCTTAAATCACTACCATCAATTAAAAAAAGGAGACAAATGGAACAAAAGTCAAACATCAATAATAGTCCACATCCACATAACGTCTATCCACACCTCTGAATGGCCCTGCACAGGAGGATTTTTTGCTTCATGCCAATTATTAAAACAGATTTAAATTAGAACAATATTTAAATATAGGTGGTAAACATAGCATACTGTTTCGGGACAGAACTTAACAGACTAATAATGGCATAGATGTTTTGACCTAACCATGGTAATGGACTTTTTTTGTTGGTGTGGCTTGGAAATGTCAGGTTCCCCTCTGTTTACTATGTCATTCAGTCCACACAGTGTCATTTGCTGCTTCATTTATCTTTCTTAGTAATGCATTTGTTTGTTTGGTAACATTAAGCTTATTTACACAATTTAACAGTTTTATCTAATGAAGAAAAAAAGAAAAGTGCACAGATTATGAATCTATCAGATGTTCATGTGGCATTATTTACCTTGAGCAGAAATTTTAGAATTCAAAATGACATCGTCACATTGCAAAACTTTTCAGTAGTGTGGAGGGACTCACCCAGTTCAAGCAGCCTCTTGGTGTACTCCAGGGCTCGCTCTATCTCCCCCTGCTGGTAGATGGAATAGCTGAGGTAGTCGAGCACTGTCACCTTATCTATGGTGGACTCCTCTCCCTGATCAAGCTGTTTCAGGGCCTGGGCCATCCACAGCTCGGTGTGGTAGTAATCAACATCAGAGTAGGCGATTTTCCCCAGCTCGTAACAGTCATCCACTGTCATTAGGCTCTTGTGTTTCACTCCTAGTATGCAGCGGATACAGGACATTGGCATAGAATAAAACTGAACAACTTCTTCATATAACATAGAAAAACTACAATCCCCACATGGTCTGCTATTTACTGTTCATATCTGTTCATTTTAATGCATCCTAAAAAACAGAGAAACAAGATATAGGTATGTACTGATTTAAGGCCTTTACCTGGTAGGTCTCCTGTAGAGATGGTGTTGGCATCCAGTCTGTAAGTGTCTTGTAACCGGAGGAGAGCTTTGGCAGCCCCAGTCTGGTCCTCATCTGTGGGGAAGTACTGTCTCTGGATGGTCAGGTTGGAAATAAATCCTGAAAGACAGACGGGAAAGGACAGAGAAAGATATAGTAGGATGATTCTGTATGGGATACATTACAACCACATAAGTGGACAATAAATACTCTCTCCTAACGGTGAGTGAGATTGCCTAGAGTGACTTCTTGAGTGAGAGAATTATAGTTATATTAAGTCAGACAACGCTCTCTTCAACCTCAGTAACTCAAGTTAAGGGGATTGAGGCACTTGATTGCTACTAAAATATATTGAGCATGAATGAGCAGCATAGTACTCCGGTAAATAAGAAAACACATGCAGCTTTACCTGGAAGAATGAAGTCATTTGTCTGTTTTGGCAAACAAACATCCCTGCACCGTCAATCCCAGGAAATCTATAGAAAGACCTGCACCAGGCTAATGCCTGATAGTATTAGAAAATCCTTCTTTTTCCATACCATCAGTGGTGTCACTGAGCACAAGGCTCTCCAGGTCGCCCCACTCGGTGTTCAGCCTCTTCATCAGTTTGAAGGCATTGACAGGGTGCCCCAAGAAGCCCTCGGGGTCCTGTGTGGCTGCTGCTGATAATGAATCCAACTTTTCAGCCCACCTATAACAGAGATGGTAATATGGAGTTAAGCAAATAGCTTAAACTTGATTCACAAGCAAAAATAAGTCACCATTAATATTATTGGCAGAATAGTGTGTAATGCAGGTGCTTGCGTAAGTGTCCACTTGACTGCACGTGTATGGTGTTGTGTGCTTGAGTGCATGTCTGTAAATCAATCCTGTAACTTTGTGTCCACACACTCACCTTTTGACGCGCTCAAGCTTGTTCTCCTCTGCTCTGATGTAGTCCTTTAGAGAGGTGACAAGGTCTTTTTCTGTGTATAACAGATCTGTCATCTGGCCTGAGGAATACAAATCAGACAGGGTGAACATCAATACTCCAATGACAAATTACACAGGGCATTAAAAGATCCTACAATGGCATGACATTTTTTGCTTCCATATGAGTGGTAAAACATGAAAAATATAAAAAACATAATAACTGAGGTCAGCAGGGGAACCTATTATTTACAACATAAGTACTATACGTTGCTTTGCGGGTTTACCTGTGGAGGTGAAGAAGTCATTGTGGGCCGAGAGCGACTGCAGGCAGCTGAGCAACAATAAACACCAAAACGGTAGCTCCATCCTGCAGAAAGAGTGAGAGAATTATGTTGTTCAATGCATGTTTTTTTTCCATTAAAATTAATTGACCATGCCCACTGACTCTGCTAAATATTTATTTTATATCTGCCGATATCCTGACTGATCTCTGCCCTGCATAATGACCACTGCATAACTATTGACAAACCGTGTTGACTCCTCTCAAGGCTCTGTGTGATCTATCATCTTGTTGCCCTCCTTACCTTCCTCCAGTGCTGCTCCAGCTGAATTCAAAACCTGTTTTTTAGCACCATTTCAGACCAGATTATCCACAGACAAACTGGGCGTAGTTTAACTTTCCCATTGTCCAGAGAAACTGGGGCATTCTTTCTGGCATGTTGCTGTCAAGTGAGCAGAAGTCAGCAGCAGTTTTTTAAAACTATCTGCATAGTTAATTATTATTAGGGTTAAGTGGGAAATAGTGTTTTCTGTTTTGTGATTTGGATGAACTGACCATTTAGGAAACATAGAGAAAAATGTGTGTTGGAAAATATATATTCAGATGCAACTAGAAGTAAAGCAAAAAGACTAATCAAAGCATTGGAATTAAGTAGGTGGGAGAATCTCCTCAAATCCATTTAGAAGTGCAGCCTCGCAACCACCACACAAAGCCAAAAATAATTCTGTGGCTGCTGTCACCATGTCCGGTTTGGCTTTGGAGTTGGCACAGCCATAACTATTACAGGGCTTCTGGCCTGTAAGGAGTGGCACTGTGATCTTTCTACCCATACAGACAGAAATGAGAAGAGAACAAAGACAGACTAGCAGGAAGAAGAAATGTGCAAGCACAAAGGAAGGTGTGAATGACTTATGAATGAATAAATTATTTATATACTGTAGTTGAAACTGGGCAGCAGCAGATAATCTGCTAGCCTAGGACAATGACATCTTTGTTATTTGAAATGTGTAATTTAAAAAGAAAATGCATCTGGATTTGGATCCAGATCAATAAACCCACAACAATGGACATCATGGGATACGTGTATCCTGATCTGCACAAAAAACACATCACTTATCCTTTGGCCAATGATCTATCTTTCCACAAATCTTAATATAAATTTGCTGGAAAATGTTGGAGATATTCTGTTAAACTAACAAACAAACAGGACTGAAAGTATGGCAAAAGCTGGACCTTGCTGAACCTCCGTGTAGCTCTTTGTGATAAAAAATGCTTCCAATTCCACCAACAAAAGAAGTACTCATGGAGGACGGTGGTGGAAAGAAAATATTCCAACACAAGTCTGAAGCTCTGTATATGGAAATCATAGTGTTATAAAACAAACAATTAATCAAGGAAATAATTGGAAGATTAATGGATAATGGAAATATCATTAGTTGCAGCCCTACCTTGATGATGTTTCTAGATTTCTTCTAATTTAAATTAGCTGCTTTTCTTCAGAAATACTTAATCAACCTCTGCCTTTGGTAGAGGGATAAAGGGGGCTCTGAACACAAACAGATGTTTAATTTCCAATATCTTTCTCGACTGTATAAAAGCTGAATATGGACTGAAATGTATGGTTGTAGTTTTTTTTTAAATAAAGGCATAAATACAAGAGGTGTACATACCTACTTGTACACATGAGAACATGTGCAAATACTCTCATACACCTTCAGGCTTGCTACACACACATTTACTCACATAAACCCAGTGGCAAAGTAAAGGTCATGCATGAAAGGTGCATCTATGCAGATTTGTAATGCCTTTCACTAAGAGACAACAGGCCCAGGCAGGTTCTGACTTTGCCACATGGACAACCCTGCCAGCGAAAGAATTACCTTATATGACATTTCAATTTAGCTCAGCAGCAGGCAGCAGAGAGGAAGGGAAATAAGTCTGACAGAGCTCTTTGTATTTGATTAAAGCAAAATTAAAAGACATTAAATGCAAATCTAAGTATATTTAAGTAGAAACTGCGTGGCAAGATGCAAATTACCATTATCCCTGACTGTTACTACTGTATTTCCAGAATAAGTGGTGCCACTCAGTCCAAAATACCATAAATATGCCTCTGCCACACTGAGAGTTCCAGGATGAAAGCTCAGCATAATGTAATTATTGTAATGATAGGGTGACAGCTACTGCGCCTCTCTTGTTATAATGTTGTAGAAGTGCAATGTCAAGATTAAAGCTGTAAGTATAACAGTTATCATTTAAATCTAGGTGTCAGGCCACACATGAAAGTGAGTGGTAGTGAGAGTGTGCATACGTACATATGTGTACATGACATTTGATGACTCCAAAACATTCCTGATGCACCAATTAACCTGCTAGACACTTGAGAGGCAGTTTGTCAGAGAGCTAGTTTGCAAACAATTTCCCTGAAAAAGATTTTTTTTTCTTCTGACCTTCTGAAAATATGTGTAAATTGGGCTGCTTTCTGTTCAGACATGTTCATTAGGAGACCCTTTTTTTGAACCTCACAGCCTTATGTAAATTGTGGGAAAATAAGATCACAGAGCTCCCATTAACAGACACTAATAGATACCGAGTTGTGATGTTCACTGCATTCCAGGAGTTATTAATGTACTGATTTACTGTTTTCCTGTCACTTCTTCTGTTTCCTACTTTGCCTAAAATGACTTTCGACAAACCCCCAAGGCCAGGACTGAACCAGTTGCTTTCACTTGTGGAATTTAAATGAAGGAGAAAAGAAGTAGCAAAACAACAGAAATACTTTTTTCTTGGCGGAAAAGCTAAACCGCATTTTCAAAATATGATATTTCAAAATGGTGAATGTCTGAAGAAGCCTTGATTTAAAAAAAAAAGAAAAAACACATAAGAACCAAAGAAGCTGTGAATAAAAACCCAATTGTTGGTGATGTCACAAAGATGTATCCACAGTAAAATTATAGCCTCTAGTATCTATCACAAAAATATAGTATTATATCACAAAAAAAGTGGAAATCCCTACAGCATTAACAACTTGAGTAAAAAGACCATTTAAAATAAGAGTGAAATACTAATTTCTGAATGAACTGTGTAAGCCTCACTGCAACCAGCACAGTAATGAACCAATGTAAGACTACTCCTCTCATTCTGCATTGTATTCTAGCAGCTTCTTCGCCTCATCTCAACTATCTTATCCAAGTTTTACAGGGAGTGAAGCTGTGGAGTCAGATAACACAGGATGTGGATGGAAGAGGACTGCCACGTCTTCGCCCCTCCCCGCCGGGGGAAACTCATGTGAGGACTGAGCAGCATTCAATGGAGTCAGACTCACTTTACCTGCAGTAACCCGTCAGTAACCCCCGCAAACTGAATGACAAGATGGCCTTCAGTCATTTCAAGAGGGCAGCTGCTGCTGTTTGATTACCCCCAAACGAGTTTGGATAATTAGCTAACCAACCCGAATATAACGTAAAAATAAAGTTTCAAGTGGATATTAGCCTTTTTTTCCCATCTTTTTTTTAACACAGTGGCTGCCTGACATGTATACTATGGCAGACAATGTGACCGTGTATGTCCAAAATCTCTTAAACAAATAAAATCTGTACATATAAAGCAGTTATGGAGGCAGCAGCATCCCACGCTGCATTGCACTGGAATTCCATAACATTGACGCTAACCTGCTTTCATTAGGGGGGGGACTCTTCTTTTCTCGCTATTTTCGACTTGGACTGACTGAATTTTTACTGACTGTCATTTTACCTCCCTGTTAACCGCTTCAGCCTCGTCATATTCTCAAACACCATCACATACATCAAAGTTTTCATCCAGGTTAGCTGGTTTTCAGCTAGCTTAGCTGGCTAACTTAAGTTAATGGAATAACAGAGAGAAGTTCGCAGTGATTAACGGTCGCAACTGAAAACGCAAAATACGGTTTAAAAAAAAACACACCCCCATAACTGCTGGTTGACATAGCAACGTGAAAAGTCTACAAAGTTCTTTTTAATTCAAGACTATCTTTATACAGTATTATCTGATTCAGGTGGTCAATATTCACCCTAACGAGAGCAACCTGTGTCCCCGGTATTCGGCTCCTCTGAAGACTCAACTCAGGCGGACTCGGCGCAGTTGTCGGTCAGAAGATGAGTCTGTCCGGTGCTTCGTCCTATCCGTGATGTTTCGGTGCACTCTTGGCCATCTGGTGGTTAGGGCTGGCTTTCTAAGAGCCTGAGTCTGAATGCTACGTGCAGATTCTCACATGCATACAGCCTCCTGCTACTAGAGACTTTAGGGGTTGTCGTTTGTAAATTGCTAGGGGAGGTGTCTAGTTGTCTTGACCCGTGTGGTGAGGCAGACACGGATGAGTATTTTGGGTTTTAATGTTGCTTTAAAAATTGCGTCTACTAGCTCAATGCACCCCCTCTGCCACGTGTTGAATTTTGTTGGAAATCTCAGATGTGCTTTCTTGTTTTTCTTTAGTCCATGCTGCAGTGTGCACCATTTAAAAATCACTTTTTTTTAACTATATATATTCATTGATATAAAGCTTTTGACAAGGCATGTACGATAGGTTGAAGATCCCCATTCAAAACTGATGTTGTGTGTGGTTTTTGCAGTGTTTAACTCGGCCAAACTAACTACTGTTCACCATTTTCACCTGCAGTCTCCTCTTCCCATTTCTCCCACATTCCAGAAAATTCCTCCCTCCCAACCAAAAAGTGTGACTGGAGGGAAGGAATTCCTGCTGCATGCTACTGAGTTCAACAGGGTGGAGCTAAGAGTGTGTATGTGTGTATGTGTGTGTGTGTGTGTGTGAGAGTGAGAGAGAGAGAGAGAGAGAGAGAGAGAGAGAGAGAGAGAGAGAGTCAGTAGCACTGTAGCTGTTAACGTGACTGCACTATTTCTTAGATGCCAGATGCAACTAATCTCACCCAGCCAAATCTCACAGCATGCCCTGTGTAAACACTACAGGCTGTATATGTCTGTGATAAACACTGGGAATTTGCCAGCCTCCTTTCAGTTTTTAAATACTTTTCCACATGAATACAGTTCTACTACAGACTTCAGAGTATCAGAATATCATCGTCTCATGGAACAAAATTGAAGAAAAGAAACCTTTCTAATGTAAAATGTTATAAATACACTTTATTAATCAATGTATATCTTCTATTAACTATCACCAAGCAAAATGACATAACAGGGATTATATTATACTGAGTCACACAGAGGTCACAAAGTTAAACATCTGTATGATTATTGTTATTATTGAGGCATAGTGCAAGAAACACTGTGTGGGGGAGCTGAAGATTAATGTCAAACTTGTATGGGATATGTTTTTTCTTGCAGTACAAAATCCACCTCTGTTTGTTCAGTCTTATTTGACATTTTTCTCAATGTGAACTGTAGAAAAAAAAATATTATACACTTAATCTCAATGTGAACTGTAGAAAAAAAAAACATCCTGTCTGTCTTCCTTTCCATTCCCATTCTTACTCCAGTCATCGGCGGATGTCGTCCAGGGAGGTAAGTCTGCTCCCAAACAGCTGCTCCTCATAGGTCAGCAGCTGACGCAGGAAGTTCACGTTGGGTGCCGTGCATGCCCTTCTCTCCTTCAGCCAGCGCAGGGCATGAAGCAGTGACCAGCGTCGATGCTCCATGAGGAAGGCCAGCGTTAGTGCTGAGCTGCGACTCCTGCCCAGACTACAGTGGACCAGAACGCGTCCGGCAGGCTCAGCCTTCAACGCAGCATTGATGAACCTGGATGCCAGGGGCAATGCCTCCACCAGGTCCTGCTGGGAATCATCGCTCAGACGCAGCCTCAAGTAGCACAGCGTGTTGGGGAAGGCATCAGGGCAGTTGGCAGTGGCATTGACCACATGTGTGATGTGCAGGTTCTTGATTATGCGGTAGTCAGAGGCGTGGGAGACCGAGCCCTGGTAGAGAGCTCCTTCCAGGATCTCTGAGGGGTAGATGGTGAGGGTGTGCCGCTCAGGTTCCAGCAGGACCATGCGGGGCGTGCAGAGGAAAGGGTAGAGGACATTGAAGGCTGAATATCCCCCCAGCAGGATGACAGGGTCCATTCCCAAAGCACTGAGCTGGAAGAAACAGCGATGGAGGTCTGGGGAGTCTGTCCTGGCCTTCACACTGCCCACTGAGCACAGAGAAGAGACATAGAAACAGTAACAGAACACAGACAGGGAGAAAACACCAGTACAACCAGACAGTCAGGACGCTTCCAGCAAGCCTAAGTCTACAGCCATGGCTCTGTGAGGCTGTACTTACAGTGACTGTACGTACATGCTCACAATGACAATGCTAACATGCTGATGCTAAGCAGATATAATATCTAATTTTTTAGCATGTTAGCAATCTAACATTTGCTGTTGGCACAAAGTACAGCTGAAGCTGATGGGATTGTCATTAGTTTTACAGATATTTATCTTTATCCTGTAACAAATTATTGGACAAATTAGAATTTTGACCTGCTGGTGGTGCTAGAGCAAAAGTGAGGGGATCACCAAAGTCCAACTCTGGGAACCCTGAATGTTTGTGGAAAATTGTATGGCAATCCATCTCATAGTTGTTAACATATTTCAGTTTGGACCAAAATGATGGATCGACTGACCAACAGACTAAGATCACCATCTCTAGAATCATGCCACATAGCAAAAAATATGTTTTACTGGATTAATGATACCTCATTAATATGTTTATATAATATTTGTCTTTTTGTGAGAGTACATAAGTGTATTTGTGTGTATCCTCAGGGCTGAATGTGTATTGCTGACCTGGGCTGCATCCTTCCTCTGCATACAGCAGTATTATAGAATACTTCTGCAGCTCTATACAGCTGATCAGACAGCCCAGCTCAGGGTGGATCACCGTCACAGCGGCCCGTGCTGTCACCACGTGACTTTCCTTGTACCTAAAACACACATTAATTCACAAATATCCGAACACATATAGATTATGTATCATAACTGCAACAGCCTCTTTACACTATGTTTTTCTATAGCACTATACATTTCCTAAAAGATGAGGTAGGCGATATTCTATATTTGTTTTATATTCAACAAAATTCCATGAAAACACTAAAACCATCCATGCAGGACCCACCTCTCTGCGCTGCGACAGTCAAGGATGAGAATATAATAAGGATCATACAAGGCGGGCTGGCCTTCCTCTGCGTTCAGCAGGTTGTATACTTGCTGTGGGGTGATGTAGCCTCGCTCTACACAAGCTGTTTCTGGGAGAGCGGGAACTAGCACCTCCTCTGGCTCACACACTGTATGCAGGCAGAAGAAATGTCTGTGTGTAGTTGTGTGTGTAAAGCATTTTTTGTGCGTAAAGACGGAGAGACTTGGAGGTAAAAATACTCCCTTTACCTTTGTTCCCAATAGGTATTATGGAGGAATGGTCACTGTCTGTACTATTGACCTCCCTGTCACAGATGCTGCTCACAGTTTGGGATGTGTTGACAGGCTCTCTGGAGGCAGTTCTACAACTGTTATTCACTCTGACACAGAGACACATACACACAGGGAAGTGCAATCTAAAGACATGAATACAGCAACATTACAGGAGACTAAACACAAAACCAATGTATGATGACTCCCCAATGCACATTTTTACAAGTACAAAAAAACAGCAGAACTCTTTACCTGGACAGTACTACGCCCATCTCGTTTAAGTCATTTGACAGATGCATCAGCTGTCCCCACCAGCCCTTCATTAGAAGAACATGCTATACCAAGAAACAAAGCGACAATGTTGAAAGACTAACTTAAAAAATATTCTCCCTAAAAGCCCAACAGGAAGTAACAAGGTAAAAAGATTTTTAAAAACCCACTATGCACTATTTGTTGTAGCTGTGATTCTTACTCAGCCCCTCTTCAGCCTCACCCTTAATTTAGCTGGTGGTCTTGGAAACCCAGTAACGGTTAAGTGCTCTAGAGGGCCACATGGTAGCTGGCTGTGACAGGTGACGGAGGAGAGACCTGGATAGGAGTCCTACTTCACCCAAATTAACTCCCAATAGCTGCAGTGTACACGGTAATTTGTTCAGGACAAGGTTTCAAGCTTTGCTTAAAACCATACAAAGATTACGGCAGCATTTAAATAACAGAAAGAAGAAAGGAATAAGGTAGGGTAAAAGTACATATAGCAGGGTATATATTGATAAACCTTGATACTTTTGGGGTTGCTACATGAAAGCATTGAACTGAATATATAAAATATTAATTTGATCCTTCAATAAAATGTGATTTCACAAACTTGCTAAGATAAATTCATCCATGATAACAACATACTGTCTCAGAAACACAATAACCAATGTATTAACAATAACTAAACTATTTCTGACAACTTATAAATCCCATATAAATATCCCCATCACACTGCATCCTCCACACCGATACAAAAGATTTTAACCTCATCCTAGCTGCCTCATTGAAATATTGAAGTTTTGAATCTTACTGTATGTTTTGCAGTGCCCCTCAGTTGTCACTCTCAGCCATGTCATCACCTCTCCTCCACCTTCACGTCACTTATTCTTCACTTTCCTTTAGCCACAGCCTCTCCACCCCTTAACCCCTTCCCTCCTCCCAAACCACTGCCACCTCCCCATTACCCCCAGTTTCCTCACAGCTCCCTTCGAGATGTTTTGTGGTCCTCTTGCTGTTTATGATTACGACCTCCCATGAACCACTGTTGAACCCGGTCGCTGTCTGTTTATGGATGTAGGTTCTTGTTTCCAGCAAGTGAGTCAACAGGCTTCAGTATGCATCATATATCAACCAGACAAACTTAATTCAACATTCAACTCAATGCAGCTGGTCTGGTGCATTATACTGCTCCTGCTAATGCTCTGGTCCATGACATGTCCACTCTATGTTCTGTTAGTGTCAGATGTGTCACACTACAGCCCACATATTCCCATAAAGACAATATTATTGCTACTCCTAGTACAGATCATGAATTCAGGTATGTAGATAGACAGATAGAGTACTTGACTTAATGTCATTGCAGTGTTACAGCAGCCAACATATGGACACTAGAAGAGGCAGATTTAAAAAGTATGTGTAGGGCAGTGAAGGAAGAAATGTTTGTATCCTTTACTTAGGTAAATACTACAACTACAATTAAAAATACTCTAAAAAGTAAAAATATAAAAGTCATACCTTAAAAATGTTACTAAGTAATACTGCAAAGTATTACTTACAATGTTAAAAGTACTTGTCATGTAGAGTAACCCCTTTCAGAGTGTCATTATGTTTTATGATTAATTAATACTGATACAGCGATATATAAACAACACTTTAATACTGTAGTTGGTTGAGGTTTAACTGCTTTATATACTGTTGGGCACTGGGGACCCTACAGGGCTTTTCTCCACAGGGAGGGCACCCTAGAGGTGTAGTAAAAAGACAGTAACTTTGGAAATATCCATCTGGTTTGATTGACTGGATGGTGTCTGGCTCCCAGACTGCAGTCCACCTATTAGTGACCTCAGTAGGGATGGAGAAAGGGGATGGCTGGTTTGCTAACAATGACCCTCAAATCACCTGAGTGTAATTCTGCGTTCCAAACCTGGTGTAGAGAATGACTGAGGAAATATAAAAAATATCTAATTTTGAAGAAATTGTGTTTTCAAAAATATCTTCTTGTCATTATTTTATTTTATTCATACTTGTTATTCCCACAAACAAAGCTTTGTGAGAGAAGGTTATGTGTCTACCAACATCAAAACAGAGCATGACTGCCCCCTGCTGTCCTTGTGAGTTTATTGTATTTTTCATTTAAGGTGCACACCAGAATACATACAGTGTACACACAAATATACACAATTATTTCCACATATCAGTGTACACAAATCATACGTATCAGTGTGCTTACATTTTATTGTTGGTAGTAGAGTCATGACAGAAAGCCCTCTGCATCTTACAGGCTTGTTGCTGCAATACTCTGGATCCATCAGAGGCCCCCATGCAGGCTGCTACTGTGTTTGTCTGAGCTCCACAGTGCCAGACCTCCATCCTCTCAGTCTGATGAGTCTATTTACTTAAGCCACCTCTTTACTCATGCAGCCATGTGGCTCTGGGACTCCATGATGTCCTCATGGAGCCTGTGTGCTGTGCAGCCACAGGGAAAGGCCAGGGGAGGGGAAAGGGAACATAAAGCTGTGGAAGAAAAAGTGTCAGGAATGTCACAAACAGGTGTTAAAGCTGGGCGTGAAAAAAACAGAGCCAGGTTTACTCTCACACCAGCAGAGGGCATATCAATAAAGTCAGGAATGTCAAATCCATTTTAGATGGATAACACAGTAACGAGGCCGGTGAAATTCCTCTCATGAGGCTGCTACTCCTCACTATCTCAGATTATGTGTAATAAAATGTGTGAGCAAACACAGATACCTTAATGGATTCCACAGATGTTGTTTACCTCCGTTTACCTCCGGAGAAACAGACGTTTAATAACTGTCCACCTAGATTGCTTCTTTAATTATAGGAAGACAAACAGACGAGGACCAAAGTCCATCTGAGGGAAACAGGTGAGTTGAGTGTCCACAGCAGAGAGCAGCAGAGAAGAGAGCGGCTCATTCAGCAGGACGGTGGCAGGGACATGTTGGACAATATGATTACAAACCTTTAGTAATGGTAGTCGTATGAGCGAATGGCACTGACAGCCGGGCAGAGGGAATGGTTGGCGTCTGATTATTTAATATGACTTTATGAGGAATTCCAGATGGTGAGTAAAGTTTCTCTCGCGCTTTGCTCCCGGTTTCCTGCTTCTATCCGAATAATGAATTACTGTAGGACTATATATTTACATAAGTGCACACAGCTTTGTGTTACAAGTAGGCTATGCCATTTCCGATGTTAGATTAAGGGGAATTAGTATAAGCAATGCAGGTAGGCTATTAAGTGGGTCTACTATCTTACATAACTTTTAGGCCATATACTGTCATTTTTATTGGTGACTTTTGTTAAGGCTACATTCTTGAAATGTATTTAACTTTTCAACAAAAAAAATTCAAAAAATACGTTTTTGCAATATAACTATTTTCATAGTTATAAACCAACTGTAATTCGTGTAATTCTCGATATAGGCTGGATAGCCAGTATTCTATTATTTAGCCCATATAAGATTATTTCAGCATGTTTATATTCATAGTGATTTTAATAAATGATGTCCTACATTTCCTGACTCATAATTAACTGGGTTATCAAGAGAGATTTGCCTTGCAGCAGACACCCCCATCAATAAAACTGAATTTAAAAACAGGGAAGGCTTTAAATTATCCTCTCAGTTTACAGTGTAATTATTTGCAGGTCTACACACACTCCACAGACTCTATGTGTCATTTATTATATATAGTCAGTGATACATGGAGGTAGATGGGAACAAGATGTGAAGTTAGGGAATAAGGGGGTGACTCTGTGGGAACATAAAATGAATACTGTTGGTATTTTGACAGATAGTCTACCTATTCTGTTATTAAGGGGTATAATGTGATCTTCTCAGCAACAACACTGTACATTTGAGTGAATACGTTTTTGTTGTTGTAAAGTAGATCTACCTGCAGTATGAGGTAACACATTTAACTTGTAAGATTTCAACAGCCTGAGGTAGTTCAAATTTATGTGGGTTAACACTGTAACACTGTTGCCATTGTTGTTGGTAAACAGGAAGTAGAAAAGTGTTTTTTATGATGAGGAAGTTGTAGAAGATGGAAAAACTTTACAGTCTTTGCATAGTATGAAAATATAAATATGGATGAGCAATAGGTTGTTTCATAACTTTCAAACTCAGCATGTCTCTTCTAAAGGTAAACTAACTACGAACATTAACCCCGTTTGGGTGCATTATCTACACAAACATCTCTACAACGTTGCCACTCACTTCACCAGCAAACACTGTTTTTGGACACTTGTTTGCGATGGTCAGAGATGGGCATGCTTATAATAGGATAAGAACCTGGTAGTTAAAAATACTTACTGTATGTGTTGTTTTTTTTTAATTCCTCCAAAACACCAGACTGTTGCTCAAAAATGTAAAATGTATTTGTATGTAAAAATACAAATAAACAGTATAAATATTGTTTACATTAATACTCCTTTATTCCCTAACTTAACTTACATCTTGTATCCTTATTTACATGTATGTATTGGTAGGTACTGTACTTGTACACCATTAAAAAAATACACTGTACATTTGTACAAGTCAGGGGCTGTTTTGCAATGGTTCAAAATGAAGTCCTGAATATAAGACACTTTTTGTAATAGTTTTAGTGATCAGTATCTACTAGGCTACAGCAATAACAAGAGAGGGTGTTCTGACAGATGGTATTCCTTTCTGTTATTTGGAAGCTATATTGATTTTGTTACTGGTTTATGATCTTATAGTCATTTTGAATATCTCTTTTCCCCACGCTGACTCTAGATATCACTCCCAGCAGCGGCAACCTCTGCACAGAATGACAGCATGTTGTTTAGGTAAAAGGTAATCCTACTGGCTTTTACAAATGGCTATTTCTGCTATTCTGGGAACCAGTAAATTGAGAGCCAACTATATAGATATAACTTATATAGACAAACTTAATTGCATGCATGCAAATATTTAAACCTGTTATTCCTGAGGGCTGTTTTTCCTAGAGCTTATCTGTCACAAATCATTCTCCAGTTGGGGAGCATATAAAACATAAAGCTTAACATGTCAAACATTAGTTAAAGGACGAGCTTTTGAACTTTTCTGCAATTCTCGGAAACTATATTCACAGCTGTGTAAACTGGAAAATTGCACAAAAACCAAAATGTGATTGTTGTTGCATGATTCTTGTCTGTTTCTGTGTGCAGTTCAGGGAGGTGGAGGAGGGGATGCTGTGCCTCAGTGACAAAGAGTCTTTCATGCAGTCATACACTGAAGCCACTGGTTCCCACCCTCTTCCTTGTGGTCGTGGTGATATACGGACTGGCTGACAAACTACGAAACTTTGTGGCCAGTATCTTCATCCCGCAGTACCACTACCCGTATGCAGTGGCTCTCTGCTTTGCCCAGGTTGGTGCCTGTTGGCAATTCACATTTTAATTAGAGTTAATCCATCAAAAATGAAAGCACTGTTTGCTTACCACCCGCACATTTGTATTTTTTATTAATTCTGGAAAAGAGTGACAACACTGCTCACTATGGCTTACATGCTGTTTAGTTTACACAGAGTACTAAGTCCTGACAGCTGGGTTTTTCCCTATACTGCAATTACATGTACCTTTATCTCTGAAATAAACAAACAGCTGACACACTGCGTAGCTCCAATGTCCACTTATTTATTACACAGAGGTGACGTTTCAAGCACAACTTCTCTTCATTAGACTGTGTCATGCTCATTTCATGATTTGCTCACTTTCAGCTTAGCGCCTTTCTCAGTTTGAATGTGTGTGCATACTCCTATTTGTCTCATAGTAAAGTAACATTTATTTTTTTAAACCCATACATTCTTCATGTAGAAATGCTGAATTTAAAAAGTGATACTACTACTACTACTACTACTACTACTACACTTTTTACTACTGTAAAAGCAAAGTGTGACCATTAAAGATGTTTAATAATTTTATTGGGTAGTTGGTAATCACTGATACAGTTAACTTCATATCTATACAATGAAGTGTCGGCTGCTGGCTTTTGTAAGTCTGTCAGTGTTTGTGTGTGTGTGTGTGTGTGTGTGTGTGTGTGTGTGTGTGTGTGTGTGTGTGTGTGTGTGTGTGTGTGCTAGTTTGAAGGACAGGGCATGTGGTAGTGTTAGGGTTGCTGCTGGTGGTGGGGGTGTTGATGAAATACTTGTGCATGATAGATGTTTAACCGAACGGCTGACCTGAGAACTGATATGTAAATGTGCCCCCGTACAAAGGTCGAAATAACTAACGACGGAGCTTCGTGAATTGCCGTTGTTTAAACGTACACACTGACCTTGAGTGTGATTTGTTGTGGGTCTAATGTATGTGCGTTAAAGATAGGGTTTCTGACAGTTTTTACGTTGCACTATAGTAGCACACACACTAAGATTTACAAGGTTTGAAGTAGAGACAGCGGAAGGGGCTGTAAAGACTGAATGACTGCAGGTTACCACTGCTTCTAGTCCAGAGGTTAAAGTCGCATTTTGTCCACATGGCATATTGCTTGATGTCATCAGTGCATCACAGTAGTTGGCAAGTTGCAAGCCCAGGATTTCTCATTCATTCAATAGAAAATAACTTTATTAGCCTCTAGCTTCTCAACATAATAAAACAAATAATAATAATGATAATAATAATAATAATAATAATAATAATAATAATAATAATGATAATAATAATAAATTTATTTGTATAGCACTTATCTAAACAAGATTACAAAGTGCTTGACAATGAGATAACAACAAACAAGAAAAATAAAATATAAGCAGGGTGCGAACAACAGTGGAGCCAGATCGGCTCCTCTTAATGAGAAATGATTTGTTAAAAATTTAAGGGGGTCCCTAAAAAATATCAGCCCCTCCAAAATATATTTTAAAATGACTGATTACTTTCTTTCTTTCTTGCGATGATTGTTGTTTTTGGGTTTTTTTTAAGTTATTTGTTGGCCCTTTTGTTGGCCTCATTTTTATAGAGACAGCTGTAGAGTGACAGGAATGGTGGGTGGAGAGAGAGGGGATGACACGCAGCAAAGGGCCGCAGGTCGGACTCGAACCCCAGCCGCTGCAGCAACTCCGCACAAAGTGAAATAGTTTATTAAAAATTGAATTCAACAAATTCCAGTGAGCCAATAATTCAGTGAATTTGCAATAACTGTTGCGATCGCAACTTCCTGGATGGAGTGGAACATACTATTTTTGCCAAGCATTTCTATTTTTGGATTATGTGTAAACTTACTATTGATGTATGATTTGTGCACGAGGCTGACTCATCACTAATTCACTTTAAACACAATACTTCTGTTCTTGCCATCGCCATTGAAGCGTGGCAGCCCAATATCATTCACTTATCAGCCTTATCTCCTTGGGCAGGGACTTACAGAGTGTAGGGGCCCTGACGGCAAAAGCCTGATCACCCTTAGTCACCAGCCATGACCTAATAAAACTAATAATAAAAATAAAAATAAAAATAAAAATAAATAAATTGATAAACTTAGAAAACAAAGTACAGTGATACAGATTATGGCTGCAACCAACAATTATTTTCCTTGTCAATTAATCAGATCAGATGTGAATGATTAGCTGATTAATTCAAAAAATTATTAATTAATTAAAAATTGTTGTCAATTAATTGTATATCTCTTTGCTAACTAATTTAAATGACTAATCATCTCAACTAAATAGATGTCAGCACATTATTGGTTTGCATCATTTGTCCAACATTTAAAATAAATGTCAAAAATGTAATAAAGCACCAGCTTTAAAACTCTTTTATTTAAATTGTGCTTTTGGGGCCCTCGAATAATCTCAAGAGATACAGGAGTTACTACGCTTAATGCTTTCCACCATCTGCACTGAATATTGGTCACCCACATGAGTTGTAGTGACTGGTTTGCTATTAGCGTCAGATCATCAGACTTCCGCTTTGTATTTGAGCCTTTAGTTCTGATATATACTGTAACTCTTTATATTGATTGTCTTTTCCAGGTCCTGATCTCTCTCTTAGTCTTAAATCTCCTCCATGTCCTGAATCTGGTGCCTCTGAAGCCTTACTCCCGGTCCCTGGGTGAGAGGTTGCTGGTGCCGGCTATCTGTAACAGCATCCATGCCGTGATGGCAATGTGGGCCAAGGCTAGCTGCTCATATGCCGGCCTCTACCCCCTCACCCTGCCTCTGCTGCCCATAGTAACTGTGGGCTTTAGTGTCTGCATGAAGCTGGCATCCCCACCATCTATCCACATCTCTGTTCTGATTTCCATTCTGAGTGGGACATCTTTTGTCATCACAGGTAAAAAGGATAGATGTTATTTAGAGGTGAAACTTGAGGTTCTTCACTTCAGAACAAATTGACCTCTAATCGAGTCTCTCTATCTATCTATCTCTCTTTGTCTCTCTCTCTCTGTACAGTCTCCCATGGTCTGGCAGGTATCGAGCCTCTGGAGTACATGTATGCACCTCTGGCTTTAATCCTCCACAGTTTGTCCCTGACTTGGCTGGCTAAGGTGTCTGAGGCTGAGCTCCACCACCCCCCTGATGCCCAAGCCTCCATTTTTGACATCTACTACACCCAGCTGGTCAACCAGAGCTGGGTGTTGGGCCTCCTGTGGCTGCTGCACCCGGACAGTCCCTGGCAGGTGCTGAGTCGAGGCAACTGGCACAGCTTGCTGTTCCATGGATACCTGCTCGCCATTCTCCTGCTAGGGATGGTACTGAACTTCCTGGTCGGTATATCAGCTCTGTGTGTCTCCCCGCTAGCTGCTGCAGTGCTACACTCAGCGAAGCAAATGGGACAGCCGCTTTTACACCTTTTGTAGTTTTGAAAGGACTGAGAAAAATGATGACTGTTCTGTAGTGTTTCAACGCGACAGTGTATTTTAATGCACATCATTGACCACAGCGTCCTTTTATTCTTTGGAGAAAAGCAAGTTCAACTTTGTTTCTTCCATTCACAGTTACATAACTTGTGCTACTGAGGCACTTTTCCTTACATAATATGGTCATATAATAACAATTTAATATAGTCAGTTGAAAGTGTCAGCAGAAAAGCAACCTGCATTGAAGTAACTGCAACCATGATAGCATATAAAAAGCTAATGATTTACAATCGAGTCCAAAAGTCTAGAGACCAGTTTTTATCTTTTTATTAATCAATCCTCACCAGTGTTCACAGATAGATACTTTCTTATTGCCATGCAACAGTGTTGGTGGTAATTGTTTTGATACATGCATGCATGGTAGCTCAGTTCCAGTGCAAAAAGAAAGAGAGAAAAGAAAACAAGCAAACGGCTGCCTAAACGACAACGCGCACAAAAACACATAATGTGAAAATATGTACAGTGAATACGTTTGATATGTACAGTTCAGTTCCCCAGAAAATCGAGGTCAGATCAGAACTACTTTACTAAGATTACGTGGTTTTGAAATGACATAAATGAAGACATTTAGATTAGTTACATATTTATTATAACTACTAACACATCCTGCATATAGCCTCAATACATATCTTTTTTTTAAGCAATTGAGCACCAGCATCTGTAAAGGACTGGGCTCAGTATACCCAAATCATCTGAACACCCAACCACCTAAATTATCTCCTTGTTCCAGTTCGGTGAAGAACATTAGCTACTTTTTAACAACAATGATAGACAGACCTGTGACCTATGGCAAAACCAGCTCTTCGACAATGAAACAAGTACAAAATAAGCAGCATGGGTCAAACAATACTGGCTTTCTCTTAGAGGTAAAGGTGAGAGTAATATAGTGCAAATGTCAAGAATATTTGTATATATGTATATTCATGAGTAAATTTGAGGAGAATTGTAGATTGTTTTTATAGTGATAGTGGACACAGTGTTAGACCCAACACTATAGTATTATGTGACATAATCTACTCATCAGTATTGAAGAGGTTTAAACTTTCATGTTTTATTGGATGAATTAGATGCTGAAGTTCTGTGGAAGTTGTCCTTGAATGATTCTGACATTTTTTTTCAGATGAGAAGGGATAACGAGGAAGACTGGGTTGTTCATACTTCATCATGACTTTATCATGTTTACTTAACAGAGTTTAAATAATAATTAAACAAAGACTCTAAACAAAAACAAAAACACTAACAAGGTTTGTGGACATTGCCCTTGAATGAATCCGACCACTACGGTTTATCAGATGAGAAGGGATAGTGACTCATTTCTACATAGAGTCTACATTAAGTTATTATCAAAATGACATTGTGCCGTAATGTAAGAATATGCTTTTATTATTATTTAATTAACGTTGATGTATGTTTATGTATTACATTTAATATCTTACTATTTCACATGCTTAAAGGTCCCCTCCAGGCATGTATTAGACATATACTGCATACAAATAGTCTGCTTGGAACAATCATTTCTTGTTTTTCCCGCTGCAAAGAAAAGTATAATTTTCACATTAAAATCCTTAAAAAGGAATCTTCTACCTCATTAGAAAATCAAGAATCTATGAATATGCACATTGGCTCCACAAATCAGAGAACTTTTCCACTTTCAGCAGATGAACGAGAAAACCTCCTTCTAGTGTCAAACTTTGCAGATACATCATTCTGCACAGTGAAAAAATATTTTTGAGTGGAGGGGGACTTTAATCAAGCACAGTGATAAAAATGTTGAACTACCTGATGATGGTGCACCAAAGAGAACCTGTATGCTTTTAATAAACTGAAATGACACTGACTTTATTTCTGAAAATATTTATTCTTTTTTTAACAACCAAATGCAAGTGCTGTCCAAAACCACCAACGGTGAACACATACCGACATCACACAAAGCAGCTTGTATCAAAAATCTAAATGCTTAAGTTATACGTTGCACTTTCAGTATACAGTGATTTTCAATCAAACAGTTCAGTGAGTGAGTTCTGTAGTAGTCCTGCTTCATCCTGCCTCAGGCTTTGAAGCTAAAATGTGCTCTCTCTCCATCATACATAGTTGATGGGGACATATCAAAAATGTAATTTAGCAATTTCCAGGTTAATATGGACCAAACAATCTTAATAATTGTATTCTTACATTATGATAATAATTTTTTATTATCATAATTAGAATTTTAAAATGGATATTTTGTGTTTTTTTTTCAAATCAGTGATATTTTAGGTTTATCTTGTGCACATGTATGAGCTTTCTTTCCTTTTTCTGTATTGTGTATTTAATATTAACTGTAAACTACAAACAATGCATGTTTAAACACATTCAAAAAGATCGGTTTTATAGTACAGGAAATGCACCCAATGTGTTTTTCTTTCCTGAAGAATACAGTTTTTACAGTGCACATATTAAGTTTCAATGAGAAACATTAACTGTAAAACAAACCATGTTTGTTTACAATAAAAGCGCTACGGGACGAGTGCTTTACAAACAGAAGTACTGTCAGTGTAATAAAGGCATTCTGCTACCAGCTTTAAGAGAAGCCTCCTCAACTGTAGATGCTGGTCCTTGCTGCATGTTTGAACCGGCCATATGTTGCCTCATTCGCTATCTGTGTCTACTTCTTGTCCTTTATGAGGGGTCAGAGTTGGGTGGTAGGTGTATACCAAGACTCTGCAGCAGGTTAGAAGCTGGTCCGGCCAGTCCGGCCTGGCAGCTGAGGGACTCCAGCAGGTTTGTGACCAGATTGAGATCGACGTCAAGAGGCTGGATCTCCTCCTCCGTCTCTTCAACCCCTCCATGTGCAGGGAGATGGTCTGTGGCTGAGGGATGATTGGAGCCATTGCCGAGGCCTGTCTTGTTGAAATTCTGCAGAAAGGACAAATGTAGAAGAAGTTTTGTAACTACATTCAGGATGACAAGTGAATTATTTCACCTAAAGGGTGTATTTTACCCTCACATTGAAGCTTTGTCCTATATTAGTGCTCATCAACTCCTCATCCATTTGGTCCATGTATCCTCTGAGACCGTCCAAAGTTTCTGTCCCGTTCATCTCTGCGTGACCAGAGGACCCCTCTTCTTTCTCTTCCTCTTCCTCATCATCATCATCATCTAGATCATCTGAATCTAGCTCTTCTTCATTGTTTCCTATAAAAATTGTGACAGATTCAGTAAAGAGAGGAATATGTGGGGAGTTTTTGCTAGTTGTTTTTCCTAACTTCATAACTTCTACATACCGAGCAGTCTGTCCACTGCGTTGGACATGGAATCAGGATCAAAACTAAAAGGCTGAGTTGAACTGCTCCTGGAATAAAGTAAAACAATGTAAAACCTGGAATGAAAAACTGTTGGTGGGACAATGCACATATAAATACATTAGCTTAACAGGCAAGAGTTTGAATGCAGCAGCAGGGGGAGACCATGAAGAGAAAATGACGCATGTGTTACACCCAACTAGACATTAAAATCACAATTTATACCTTGGTTAGATTTACTGTACTCCAACATGTGTGGGTGAGTTCTTCTTTTCATTACCTTTTACTATCATATGGAAAATAAATACACAAACGATCCTTAGTCATTTTATTCATTGACCCAAATGTGCCTTTCGATGATCTTGGTTAAATACTGTTAAAATGAATCAGGCGTGGTGGCCAGATAGTCAGTCTCACCAGGGCAGTTCAGCACCCTCATGAGACGACACGGCATTGAGGAAGTTCTTCATCCCCTGACTGACTGCCACCAGGCTGTAACCGGCCTCCTTTCCCTCCCTTTCCTCCATCTCCTTCCTCCTCTCCTCTGCACCGCCGACATGGTCTGTCTGTTTGTCGGAAGTGGAGTTTGGGCTGCCAGCAACAGCTCTCTCACCACTCCTCTCCTGCAACATACGCTCCAAATCCTGAGCTGTGATATCCAGCCAGCTGTCACCTGGAGATAGACACAAAGAAAAACTAATTATGGGAAATGGTTGAAAGAGAGACAGGGTAGAGAATGGAGGAGGCATACCAAAAAGGACAGAAACTGAAAAGGAATTGGCAGACAGCACCAAATCCGAGCTGGCAGAGACAGACAAAGGCAATGTTTACTTTCTAGCAAGGTCATATAAGTCTTAAGTAAAATCTCCAGACAGACTTCACCATTAGGATATATGTAAAAGTCGACCATGTTGAGTAAATTACACTAAATAGATATGGACCTCTTCTTTGTACAGGAAATATGAATAATGTACACACAAATATGTCTCATTAATTATCACTTATACCTTGGTTAACAGTTTCTAAGTTTCTATGCTCAGACGTTACAAATGTAAATGAACAAGATGTATATTTTCACTCACTGTCCTCTTGGGGGAGCTGTGACTCTTGTTTCTTCAGCTCCTCCAAGTTGACTGGATTGCAGCTGTGCAGCAGCTGGAGAACCTCTTCGCCTGGGGACAAGGCACTGAGACACAGCACACAATAGGTACATTCAGACAGATACATTGGGACTTCACAGGCAGGCATATTCACACAGTGTTAGAGACACACACACACACACACACACACACACACACACACACACACACACACACACACACACACACACACACACACACACACACACACACACACACACACACACACACACACACACCTCGATTTTGAGGCGACAGACTGTTTGAAGAAGTTCTCCCCAGATCTTTTCAGTTCACGGTACCGGGCCGATCCTTCCATTTCTCCCTGCATTTGACAACAATAAGATCAAAAACTTTGAATTTCTGGAAAATGTGGAAAATGTTGACTGTATCCCACCTTTAGCAATGTGTGCTTTTACATCCAACCTACTATTCCAGGTGAAGCTAAGTAGCTACCCTTCCTCTTGACCTCACCGTACAAAAAGTGTGACTAACCCGGAAGTAGCCGTTCCTTATCAGACTGTCCATGAAGCCTTTCCACTGAGGGTTACAACTGACGGGGGCATCGGGCTCTGATGAAGGCAACTGGCACTTAGAGCACAGGATCTCAAAGCCATGGGCCTGGGAGTGAGACACGCACACACAGAGAGGCAGACATTTAATCAAATACAAAACTATAAACCCTCATTAGAGGTCACCTTGCATCCTACTGTGCCTAATAAACGCATATTTGTATTCATCCAAAGGAAGGATCAGGATGAAGAGTAAACACAGATGATGGCTGACCAGTTTCATGCCGAGCTCATGGGCTTTGTACTGGGGATGAGAGTGAGGAGGCAGAGTGAAGCCGCTCCTACGGTCTGGGGTGAACTGTTGCTGCTGCAGCTGGGCGTACAGGCAACGCGTGAATGTCACCTAGAAATACAAATAGAAGTACAATGTTACAGTTAAGACATTACACAAAATCTGAAACGTACTACTGAAAAACTGAAACACAAACAGTGATTACAGTATGAGCATGAAACAAACACTATTATAACACGACATAGACGCAATGTTTTTGAAATAAGAATATTTCCTTTAAAAGAGCTTCTTCTTTGTGCCTAGAACGCTACAATCATGAATCTTTCAGTGTGTTTACCGAGGTGAGGACTCGCGTATCAGGAGGAAAGGTCTTGAAGCTTCGACACGCCTGCAGATCTACTGGATCCCGCAGGTAGAAGGCCGACACTGCAGGGGCGACCAGGTCTGGTCGTTGTGCCAACACCATGGCAACGCCTGCAGGTATGAAGCAGTGGGCACGATGGAGGCCAGTCTTAATCTTCTCAGGGTACCTAAGGACAAAGTTTACATTGGTATGCTTTTTTTCATGTTTCACACATTTACAGTATCTGCTGATACCAGCCGGATACTCGTTGTATCCTCTTATATACAATATTTATGAGGCTGTTAAAGTATTCTCTTCTGCAACATTGTGGAAAACAAATATCCAACAATGATTCTGCACCTTGAAGCCTTGAATTCGGACATTTTGCTTTTAAACTTTAATATTCTATTTGATAGTCTCAGACAGACAATGATACTGAGGGTTGGGTCACAGCATTCATACTTGTCAATGATGTTGCATTTGAAACACATTTGTGGATTAAAAATAAACTTTTAACACATGAGGACCTCTCACCCTTCTAGTCGCTTCCTCAGGACTGAACAAATCTTGGGGCTTGCCTGACAGGCCTCTGGGTGGGTGGAGAGCAGTGCTAGAGCTTGTGCAACACTTGGTACCACACCTTTCGAGAGCCCCACTGTACTGGATTTGGAGGGACAGGGCAGAATATGCAACTCTCCCCTATAGAAGAAGACCTGCAAAGGAGAATGAGTAGGGAATGAAGGGTTTTTGTAAATACAAATGATGACAAAAGGTAGATGAAAGGGCCAACAAAAGACTATTACTTATAAAATAAAATCATCACATCTGCCTTCTTATCTGGTCAACTCACCCTGTTTTCACTGGTGTCTGGATTCAGCCACTTGGGAAGATAATCTGCTGCTTCAATCAGAAGAAACTCTCCGTCATTGTCTTCAACTCTTCACACACAAACATAAAATCGAAGTTAGAAGAAGAGAGGCAAATGACAAACCGCTTACACTGATCCATAAACTCAAAGCACATTTTGTCTCACCTGGCTGCCAACTGTGGGAACGCCTCTGTGATTTGCTGCAGGAGGTAAACAATAAACCACTCGTCCTCCACACTGTCCCCAAACTGAGTACTACCTCCAATGTGAGCAGGGACATCTTCTGTCAATAAAAAAAGAACACATATCCATTTCCAGTAAAGACAGACGGTACCAATATTTAAAATCAGGGTGTTGCCAACACTATACCTTTCTCAGGATGATACTTGAGGTTGAATGACTGGTGCTGCCAGATGTATTGTATCAGGAGTGGGGCAACCTTTGCCATGATCTCCTCTACCAGGTGTGTGAGATGTTCCTCAGTCTGCTGTGAAGGTGGGCCGTCTGGTTGGATGAAGAAGAGTTTGTACTGAACCACGTCCTCCTCCATCACTCTCCTCTGCAGGGCGTCCATTGGAGTAGTTTTTAAAAAGACCTGCTAAAAACACAGCAGGCTAAAGTCATACACTAACATATAGGTAGGGCATTTGTAGATTCGACTAGAAAGTAGGAGTGAAGTATTAGCATTAGTTAAAGGCTCAGTCAACTAACCGCAAAAATGTATTACTGTTCATATTCAAGTCAATCTCCTAAAAGTGTCAGTCAGTCTTACTTCGTCTTGTTTTTAAATGTCAGACCTTATATCAATGAAGTCCGCAAAGATTTCAATGAGAGAAAAATGAAACTTCTCTCATTTGTCCGTACGTTTCTATCACGCCATCTGTCTCTGTTTAGGTCCTACAGTGAATCCCACTCGACTAGCCCATTCGCGTAAAACATGAGTTCCTACATTTTATATTACCTAATTATTCGTTGTTCTACTGGATAAAAAAATAATATTTGTTATACAAAATGTACATCCAGAATATAGCGCGTTTCTACTCAATTTAATGAAAATAATTAATTACACAATGTGCGTTTTGAATTCAACCGACACCGCCACCGGATATATTTCAAGAACGCAATCACGTTGTCGCAATGAACACTGGGAGTTGTAGTGACAGAACCAATAGGGTAACGGCTATTTAGTGGTTGTCCGAAATCTAATTCCCGTGAGACCACGGGGGGGTGCAAAGGTGCGTATCCATGGCAGCCGTGTTATTGTTGTTGGTGGTGCTAACATTAGCAAAGAAAATCTTCTGAGGTGGCGATAGCTAACTGCTAGCTCTACTAACGTTTAACCCCCCCCGTATTTAAAAATGTAATTCACAGGCAACTGCTGGGCGACACAAGATGCTAATTTAATGTAGCAAGGTCAATCTAGCAGAGGAAGTATTTTGAGGGAGTTATTCAATGCTGTTGGTGCCTTGTTGATGTTTTATCTATCCGTCCATGTAACGTTAGCTAGCTTATTTTTAGACGTAGCCTCCTCCTGACACTAGCTGTTAGAAAACAACGTTAGCATCAGTAGCCAAAGCCCACTCCTCCTGGTTCCCTGCACCGAGGGTGTTTATCCAGCGGACTAGAGGAAATGTCAGACCTCCCTCGAAACTGTTCCGAGCGAGTCCAGGACGCGGAGGCGAGAATGAGAGACGAGGGCTTGAGCCTCTAAAACGGACACAAAGGAGAATGATTTCACGATACAACAGAAGACCTGTATCACACAAACTAGAGATGTGAGTATTGTAACATAAAGGGGTTGAAAGCACTGTAAACAAGGTTCCCCCAGCTGTCAGAGGCTGAATGCTGTTACTCTACACCGGGAGGAGGGGGAAAGTGAAATGAGTGATTGACTTCTCCACCACTATCGGATGACTGTGTAAAATTATATTTTTATTGATCCAGTTAGTAAGTCCATCTGTCACATCGAGGTCTGTCTCCTCGTTTAGACAAACGTAATGTCCAGTACATGATGATCCATCAGTTCAGCTGGTGAACTACTCAGATATCCTATTATTTGAAGCAACAATATTTCCTTTTTTTTTTTTGGTGTCATGCTTTAGGAAATGGTCGACAGTGAAGAGCTCCATTTGTCTTTAAAGGGCTAAGACATGCTAAATCACCAGTGTGTTCCTTTTAAACAGATTCATCAACAAGAATTATGTTAAATATTATTACGAAGACCATATGCATATAGAACATCATCATGACTTTTATTTCATCTCACATTGTTTTCATTGGTGTCTGGATTCAACCACTTGGGGAAATAATCTGCCACTTTAATAAGAAGACGATTACACACTCACTTTTTAAATTTCCCTTTTTTTTTTAAATCAATGTCCACAATCTGTCTTTTTACACAGTCGTGGGTTGTCCCGAAGCAGCCTCGACCACCACCCTCTCCCAGAGGAAGCAGACGATAACCAAACCCCTCAGCGCTACCTCCATGACCTCCAGGAAGCTGTCTCCGCTCACAACAGGTAACCGAGTCCCGGATTGTTCTGTGGCGAGGCAAATCTTGGCAACGGCAGAATATGGCAAAGATCAAACTACTTCCAAGTAGTACACACAGAAACTCTTGCCTGTGTGTTTTGTAATCTTACACCATCTTGAGTGGACAGCTGATTCTCAGGGCTCTCACTGCGTGAAACAAGACACCCAGAAGCAGTGGATTAATTGATATCACATTGCCTCCTTCAGATGTGCAGTTAAAAGAATGAGTAATGAGGCAGGCTGTTGGAATATTCAATGACTTTGACATTTGCCCTTTATTTTCCACTTTGAAACCTTGCCTATGATTCTGTCAGCAACCACCACCAGTAAGGTTTTCTATAGCAGAGACCTGGTTTCTGTTGTGACATATAGAGTCAAAGTGTTTGAATATACTTACGTGTGTTGGATATCCCCTGTGGGTACATGGTGAAACATTGATTCTCAAACTGTACATTAATCTCACAACTCCCTTGACCTTTTCTATGTAGCTCAGAGACGTCTGCTGCCTCAGGCCACTCTGACTGTCCCACCGTCATCTCAGTAGACTCCAACCAGTCCTGGTCAGGTATCCACAGCTCCACCGGCACTGGCATCTCTACAGAGAGGAGCTCTGTTTTCTCCTGGGGCTATGATGTAAGTCTGCTCCTGCACCTCCTGCTCCTCCACACACAACACTGTTTTCCCTCTAGCACTTTTCTATCCTCTCTGTCATTCTGTTGCAAAGATGAAAAGACTCCACATACTTTCATGCATGTTTTAATGTCGGATTTTGATTTGCTTACTAACATTTGTCACCTTTTGGTAAACCTGTGAAAAACCACAGAACAGCATACAACCAGTCTCTGTATCGAGTGGTGGACGCCTTGTTTGTCTGCTGCTTCTTTGAATATGCAAAGCCTGGTTCCACTGGGTGTTGGTTTGTTATTATGCTGTGATTTCTAGCCTCAGCTGCTTCTACAGAACTTTTCCAGGACTCAATGATTTATTTAGTTTGTTATCCTCAAGCTGCTTCTGAGAAGAAAAAAAAACAATCTCAGTTACGCAAACTAACTCACTCCTAACTCACCTTATGTTACAGCATATGAACAATCCAGCTCGACCACAAACGCATACACGCATACCAAGGGGCTGTAGAGGCTAATTATTATGCATGTTGAAGCTTGCCATGAGATAAAAAAAAATTAAAGAATAGCAGTGTTTTGCCAATAACTAATGAACAGACTGAAAAGCAGCAGCTTTCTATCACTGAGCCAGTCTATGAGAACAGAGAACAGAGGGATGACTAGCTCTCCTTCCTGTGTTTCTACCTCTTTCTGTTTTTCCGTCCCGTAGGAGTTCGACAAGGCAGCGTCACGGCAGGTACAACAAATGTTTGAGGAGATTGACAAAGAGCTGTATGAGGGGAGAGGCAGCGGAGGAGGGATACTCCAGGGGCTGCAGAATGAATGTCAGCAGTGGGCCACGCGTTTCCCGCATCTTCGGTTTGTTATCGGAGTTTACTACCTACTAAGACAAACGCAAAAAGCATTGAATTTTTGCAGGAAAACTTATTATAAATTATTATTATACTATATGTATATACTTATATTTGCTTATTTACTCATTGTGTGTGTGTCACTCAGGATCCTGGGGACTCAGTTGGTGTGTCCCAGTGATGAGGGCTTCCAGTGGTATGCTACTTCAGGGAAGGGCAGCCCTGCCAGCAGCCCATCAGCAGGCAAAGAGAGCAGTGTGAAGCCCCAGGAGAAAGATAAGGACGGCATAGAGTAAGTCTTAATTGCACTGACTCACTGGTAGACTGTCTGTCTGAGAGGCGAAGGACACATGAGGTCAAAGTTCACCTGTTAGATACATTTCCCTGCTGTATGGTACACATTCCCTTCATTTTTAACACATATAGCAATGCTTAATGGATGCTAGGTCTAAAAATGTAATTCGGTTGTGACGTGGAATCTCAATTGAAAGAGATTGATATTAGCAAAGTCTTACTGTGTGTTGCTTTATTATTTAAATACATTTGTCAGAAATATTCTGCCTCTGTTCCTCAAGTGGCTGTCGGCCAGCTGTCCAGATGACTGGTGTTAGAGCATCAATTATAGAGGAGTCGTAGCTGACTCTGTGGTTTTGTGACCTAGATGCTCTGGCTTGTTAATCAAGTTTGTGGGCCAAAGTCATTTTGGTTAGCTGTAGTGAATAGTTAGCTAGGACTGTCTCTTTTAATGGTATACTGGTTGTAACCAGGCAGTGCCACTGTTGGACTGCTCAAAACTGAGTCTGCAGTGTTAGTGTGAGCTTGTGCATGCATAGGTATACTGTAGGAATTTGTGGTGGGATGTTCCTTCTGCTTGACAGTCTAAAGCTGTCAGCTGGATTCTAGCTTATTTATTATTTATAGAAAACATACAGCACGTGTGGGCTTGTGTCTGTGAGCGTAGCGTTTTATGTGTACACGTTAAGGTGCTTAACTATGTGCGCTCTTGTCTTGGGGGAAAGGTTGAATGTGCAAGGCAGAAGAGCAGCCCTGATCAAGTCCTCCTCAGCAGAGTTGGATGGGCCTCCTGGCACCTCCAGTGGCTCCAGCATTCACGACAAGCCGAGAGTGATTGAAGTGGAGGGTCTGATGGAGGAATACCTGGCTTTTGATAGCAGGGACTTGTGAGTTACTCACTTTCCTCCTGCTACACATCAATGTTCTTATTCCAGAAACTAAACCTGTCAGTGTATAGTCCAGTTTTGTTCAAATATTTGTTATATCTGTCTTCTATAGGGAGGATGAGAGGGAGCAGGATTGTTCAGAGTCGGGTCGAAGGCATCACTGTTTGCCCCCTGTCTCGCCGTACCGCTGTCGCCGTCAAGCTGTTCTCGACCTCCTGTTTGATGACGTGTGGCGGCAGCTGGTTGGCTGGATGAAAGAGCTGGTGCAACGCCACTGGGAGTGCTGTACATCAAGTAGGGCTGAATGGAACTGCTGTACATGCATTAGACCTAACTTATATTAACATATGTCCATTCTTATGCATTTGGAAGTGATGATTGTATGTGTGATTGGCAGATGATGAAAAGCTTTCTGGGAACCTGAGCCCCGTGCAGCAAGACTCCCAGAATCCCTTCATGCTGCTCTCCATGCTGCCCACGATGCTGCCCAAACTTGGCCAGAGCAGGATGCCCCCGCTCACATCTGGCCTGCAGTTCCAGGTCAGTGGTCTGAGGGGCAGCAGGAGGGTGTGGCTAGGGGAGTAGTCTGGGAGCCTCATTTAACTTTCATCACTGAAGGCAGTTCAGGAGGTCAATTCAAAACTTTATGATGATAAAAATAGTGACGTTTCATATACAAAATGCACATTTCAGTAAAAGTTTTCATTTTTATATGTTTTCTTCACTTTGATTATGACTGAGATATATAACATGAAAGGAAAATTATGAAAATGATTAACTAGAGGGTTAATAAATACGGTACCAGTGTGTACCGATACTGGTTTAATCCACCCTGATTTTAAAACTGTTTGTAGTATCAAACATATCAAGTTGACTGAGCTCAATCACTTCAGCCCTGAGAAGACTATATAACATTTGTTCAGCATCATGAACTGTGAGGTCTTTGCTTTGCATTCCTGCCTATTGCTCTTTCAGTCTGTCAGTGTTTCCTGTTCATTAACTTGTATCACTGTTTTCTTCCCTTCCCTCCTTACTCTCTGCCCTTCACCTTGCCAATGTCTCTTGCCTATTTTCCTTTTTTTTTTTTTTCTTTCTCTACGTTTTTATTTCTGCCTTTATTTCCCCTCTATGTTCTTTACCCTTCTTGCTTCCTTTCCATATCCACCATCTTCCTTTGGTCATGCCTTTTTCCCCTTAAAGAACACAAAGTCAAGGGGCTCAAAGCACAAGTCCAGACGGAAATCCAAAAAGCAGAAAAGGCCTTCCACTGTATGTAACTCCCTCACTTAGAGCGAAAATGGCGGCTCATTATCTTTATCTCTAGAATAAATGTGCTTGTGCCTGTTGATTAACACGAAAGCATCACCACCATTGATCTTTTAACTGCAACGTATGAACTACTTTGGTTTTCTTTACTTCTTTTCTTTCACAACAAGAATGTTGGAATGCTTTGTTTGCTAGTTGCTCCTTTGGTTGCATTTTAAGTGTTAATGTGAATGTGAATGATATTTTTGGTCAGTGGCGTAACTGATATGGGGGTCCTCCTGACATCACTGCATGATGAATAACCATTTTTTTGACAATATGCTTTATTGTACATATGGATTTAACTAACCCTGTGGCCTTCATAAAATACATTATATGTCTCTAACCTGTCTTTTCTCCTATATTATGTCTCTGGTCCCCTCATACCTCTCTTTGTCCTTGTCCCCTTAATCATTCCTGTATTTTTGGATCTTTTTACTTTCATCCCGCTCCTTTACCCTTCCCCGTGTTCCCTCTGTCTCTTTACTTTCTCCCCTGCATCTGACACCGCTCCCCAGGCTGGAAGGGTACCGGTAGGCACAGCAGCGACTCAGCACAACCTGAATGACCTCATCGTGATCCACAGCATCCCCCTGCAGCAGAGGAACCTGGGTGTGCTAGATAGAAACCAGTATGGACACATTTTACTCTTCTAACAACAACCAATGAGCCTTGGTGCCAAAATTGAAAATAAAAACAAACAACCAAAATCAATGACACACATTTTTGTATTCCTAGTATGTAAATGTAATCTTTTGAATGGGAATGAATAGTTCTTGTAGTTCTTGTTTTCCATTTACAGGTAAACACATCTTGTAAAATGAGAGGGACATCGCCTCACTCATGCCATGTTTTTGTCCCTGGTCTTAACACCTTGTGTGACAGAGTACACAGCCAGTTGGCAGCAGATACAAATGCACCATTCATTGATTGTGCTCCACTCTCTCCTTCCCCTACAGGGAGCCAGAAGAGCGAGCGTGTCACAGACCAGGATCCAGCGCTGTCCCCTCCAGCAAACCTCGACCTCGCCGAACCCTGGAGCAGAGCTCTTCCTCGCTGTCCCGCCCTGCACAGTCTGCCCGACGCAGAAACCCTCCTCCCCGAACTCTCCTGCCACTGGTTCCCAGCTTGAGCCAGTCCTGCGCAGCGGGATCCATGGACGAGGTCATCCGCGGGACACGTCTGTGAGTTTTGGCATCGTGAGAACCCCGCCAACCCCACCTAAACTCCTATCTAGCTTTTTACTCTCTCGTTCTCCCCTACGGTCTCTGAAGTTTCGCAGAGGCAGAGTGAGATTACTTTGAAAGCAGACTCTCTTTCAACTTGTGCCTTGTGGGGCGGTGCAGCAGAATAATAGTGGGGGCGGGGGCTGATAGAAGTTTCACGTATTAGAAACCGTCTTCACAGATGAACTTGTCGTGAACTGCAGGTAATAGTGCAGTGTGCCATTTTCCTTTCATGCTTAATCTCAATTCTTCTGCAAAATTCAGCAAGTACTGTATCTAAATATTTAATGGAAAACACAGTGAGCATGTTGTTTTTTTTAAAAGAAATACTTGAGATATTTTTTCTCTATCACAAGAAGTACAATTCTAACTTTCTAACTCTCATCCTTACACCTAAGCTGTGAACTCCCACGGTGTTTTCAGAAAGAAGTGTATGTAGATGTAGCATAGAACAATCCATCTATCTATACTCATTGTCTTTATTTATGTGTGCGTCTTCATCCACAGACCCACAGCCAGCGACCACCTAACATCTCCGCAGTTGCCTCTGAGTAGGAACACACTCCTTCCCCCCATCAGCACTGGAGACCCAGAGTCATCTCACTCAGGGCAGCAGTCCAAACCTGCACAGGTACAGCATAACACTACTACACTGACAATGAAAACCTCATTTCAGCACCTGAACACAAACACTGATTAAACAAAGGCTTTCTAAATAGATCATAGGTTTCAGAAATAAAGTAAGTAAACCACCTGTGAATGAGTTTTTGTCCATTTTTTCTGCTCGGTCAGCGTCAGAAAGGCCCGTCCAGTCGCGCCCACAGTGCTATAATTGATGAAGCTGGCAGTTCAGTACCGAGGGATCGTCATCACCTACTGGACGTCTTCTCTCGCCCCAACACCACTCACACATACAGGGTAAGATGCCCCTTATCACCACAGAATCCTGTAGCACATATCACAAAAATGTTATTTTTTTTTTTTAACCCATCAGGTTAAGGGCTTAAGAAGTAATGAGTTGGCAAAGTTTATATTGTGAATTTGATGCTCAATGACTTTAATTTTTTTTGTGTTTGTTGTATTAGAAATGGTATATCTGACCCCTGCTTTTGTTTTCAGTCGGACACTCCGTACCGTCGTTCCTTCACAGTATTGGACAACATCGGGCAGGGGCGGCCAGGCAGAGCGTCTGTGGGCACAGGTCAGAAATTCAACTTGAAGTTGAATAAAAAACATACACAATGCTGCTGGAAAAGGAATGTGAGGTACTGCAGTGGTTCACAACCTTTTTTAGCAGACGTACCCCACAGCCCTGTCAGATTAACACAAGGAACGCCTCCTCAACTCCACCCTTCATGTTCAAAATGTGGTCATTTAAAGTGATTTTAAACCAAATATTATTAAAATGATAAAGTGGGATAGAATGGTGAATGTTCCTTTTTTCCAATTTACAGTTGAACTGTCACTGTTTAGGTTGGTTTAATTCATTTGCACTCACACCACTTGGAGTAGCGCTTGCTAACTAGTTTTCCTGCACTCTCAACATGCGGTGTCCAGGTGTTATAGCTGACTCAATATATGAATATATTTTTTTAATCAACTCGCAGTTTCAGTTTGATCAAATCACTGATACTGCATATTGAGATCCCCACTCGTCAACTGCCTGTTTTGTGCTACTTTATTTTTTGCCTGTCCTTGTACTGTAAATACCCTGTGCCTTATGGATTTTGTAGTACATGAGCTAATCACTTATGCATTCATTTATTCATTAATTCCACCAGACTCTCTTGGAATCGGTGTGACTGGCATTAGTCTTGGCATCAGCAGCTCATCTTTCTTGGACTCGTTTTCCCACCACCCCTTGGGGCACTCGCGCATCAAAGATGAAGAGGAGCCAGACCCACAAGTCCCCGTCCCAGGTCAGTAGATTAAAGCCGCTGATGAAACTCTGCCAGACCTGGTTCTCAGATAAACTATGAATAAAAGTGATTACAGCGGCTGGCTTCACGTAAGATTTACCTACTGGTAAGATGATTTAACTCGGTATGTTCATTAACTTTTTATCCTTCCTCTTTCCCATAGCTCTGCTGGTGCCTGTGTCAGTTCCACCTCGGTCTTACACTCGGGGAGGCATTTCATCTAGAGCCAGCAGACCTGGCTTGTAGTTTGCCTCCGATCTTCAGACCCTTCAGCCATTCATCTTTATAAAGCACAAAAAAGTGCATCACTCTGCAGCATCTGTGACCTCTAAACTTTTTCTTTTTCTTTTTTTTTTTTTACAGAAGTAGCAGATTTTTTTTTCATATTATGCTGCTTTGGTGAAGTTTTTGTTAGAGGCCTATTTTTGTATTTCAGAAATCAGCTTATGTGGCTGCCAAACACAAACTGTCAACAGTAACTCCATCTTCATATACAGTATGGGCTGTATGTGTGGACATTTCTACTATGTATGTATGATCTGAATGTGTATATATCTATTTATATATGAATGTACTGTATGTTATCCTCTGGTGTGTTGTTGTACTGGTAAATGACTATGCAGGGAATAACACATCCACCCAGACAGGGATATAGAGGATAAAAAGCACTTTTTTTCCCTCTCTGATGCTACATCGGAGAGTTTGGTACTGTATCTTTTATAAGGACACAACCTTCAACCGCCCTGTGTAAAAAGGAAAAAAAAAAAGAAATCGACTCAGAGCTTCTCATTGCATATCATTGCACACAGGAACGAGAGATGCCACCTTGCAAGTTTTTGGTTGCCTCTCCATTAAAGCTCTGGTAATATATCAGGAGCAGGGATGTGATGGCTGGATAAGCACTGACAAAACATTTCTACAGCCCAATGTGCTTCTACTAGCACATCTCACTAGAATATAGGAATACAAGCGGCAGAACGTATGTAAATAACTAAGGGATTCATTTATTGCGTCTGTACAAAATACTACTTGTGGTATTTTTTTTTTTTTCTTATCCGAGCAAAGCCATGTGTGGAAGCTTTGACAGGTAAAATCAGGTTTACTGCACAAATGGTAGTTTTCCTTTGATTCATGATTATAATATTATATCAGATAGCCATGCTACAAAGATGACAAAGCTTGAAAATCAAAGCTTTTTCTTCAGTACATTTCCTTGATTCTATTTTATGCAAAAGAATAAAAAAGCTGTGTACAAATGATGTATATAAATATGAATTTATTCATGTTTATGAAGACAAGAAATAAAAGATGCATTTACATTTTAATAAGCTTCACATAAAACGCTACAGAGGGCCGATAAAGGAGAGTTTTCTGAGGGGGAACGCAGAAGGGAGCAGTTAGGCAGCTGCTCATACACGTATTCAAATGCTCTTGTTGATCTAAACGTGTTTTTTTAACAAATGAAACCTGCTATAATGTATGTACATTTTATCTGCTATAAACAGAGCCTCTAAGCTTTTCACTTTTTTCCTCTCTTTGCTTTTTGGGATTTTCCACTTTTTTTGGCATATTTTGCTTCCAGGTCAGACAGGAAACCGTTAAAATTCTGCTCTCTGGACTTCTGTCTTTGCTGGAAAGTAAGAAAGAAAAGTGGTTATTAAAAAAAAAAGAAAAAATCAGACAACAACAAACAACACATCCTGCCAATGTTTACATGTGCAAATGCATTTGATACCTGAAGCATCATCACGAGACTGTCATCCTGATCACCGAGCCCCATCTCTTTTTGCATTTCCTCTGCTTCTTGTCGCTCTCTATCAGCCTGGAAGGTCAATTGAAAGCACATTACTGAGACAAAGTTGTAAGATACCAGAGCTTAGTCCCGTTTGTAAATGTACAAAATAAATAGAATATACACTGTAAGGATTTCTTCTTACTCTCTTTCTACGAGCCTTCTTCTTCTTGTCACTCTCCCGAGTAAACGCCGGGAATGCCTCGACATCCCCGCTCTCGATGGCAGCCTGGATGATGCTGCAGAGCCTGGGCTCGTCTTCCTGGGAGCAGCACAGAGCCGAGGCTGTGATGGCATCCATATTTCCCTGGTGCTGCACATACAGCTTGATTACGTCCTCCCGCTCCTCATCAGAGCCCTTATATTTCTTCTCAAACTCAAGGATGTCCTGCACTGTAATCTAGGGGATGGATAGAGTGACAGAACAAGTTGTCAAGACAAAGGAAATGTATGACAGGCTATTAAGTGACACAATAACCTTGATCCCCATCCACTGTACGTCATCCAAAATAAAATTCCTGGAAATACAAGTGACTCAGTCCACGTGTCACATCATCACATGTGTAACAAAGCAATGTGACTCATTATGGAGTCAGAAAACACCTGCTGTGTTCAATACCTTAGGGAAGAGCAGCCTCCAGTAGTCTTCCCAGCAGCGGTCTTGACTCAGGACGTCGGACTCTTCATCCACGACCCCCTGCTCATCATAAACAGCCCTCTGCTCCTTATCGCTCAGCACCGCATACAGCTTTCCCAACACCTGGAGGGGGAAAAACATGACGTCAGACTCAAAATTGTACACCTCTGCAGCTCTTACTGTAATGTATGGCATGAACTATTATTATACACTTCATACAAGAATTAGAAAAATAGGATCTGTAGACGCATTGGGCTATTGATAAACTGTGGCCATTAGTTACCATCAGGTGGGTGTAAATATATTATATTTATGCAATATGACTATAAGCGTTAAAAAATTACTCAATGGTCAGATTTTTTACATATCTTTTATACTATTGATGCTATTCCTTTGATATCTCTGGTTGTATTAGCTCATAATAATGGGTAATGTCATTTTATACCAGGCATTACTGGATTATTGTCTGTTACGTATTTTATTCACTGGATCCACCAAAAAGATCTGGTGATTTGAGCTACACAGTTTCTCAACTGAGGTTTGAAAGGAAAAAAATGACAATATACAGTAACCTGTATCAGTCTTACTGCTAATATCTGGTTGATATGTTTGGATATTTGTGTATATCTTTTTCTGCAGAGTATGTAATGCAATTGGGAGATCAGCAACCAAAATAAAGGGAGCAAGGTCTTTCAAAACACACAGGTAAACCTGACAGCTATATATTGCACCTAGTAGCTAAGTTACAGGTAAAACAAAGCTGTTGTGGGTTTTGGACAATGTATCAGTAAGTAAATAATATTAAACGTCTCTACTTCTGCTGCAACTTACATAAACTCACTCAGTCTCTATGATCACATCATCGGTGTTTACACAGGGGGGAGTAGGAGATCACTGCAACTACGTCAGTCAGCTAACGTAGCTATCTAGGTTAGCTATCTAGCTAGCTAACCTAGCTTGTGTGCATTGTGTGTGTGTGTGTGTGTGTGTGTGTTCACTCTGACAGCTAACAACGAGGACCTGAAACTTCTCTGTAGCCAGCGGGTCTTCAGGAGCCCGGTCTGGGTGGACTTTCAGCGACACTTTGTAGTAGCTCCTCCGGACCTCTGTCTCTGTTGCCTCTGTGTTGATGCCCAGCACCTCGTACAGGTTTGAGGTGTTGAAGAGCTCCTGGCACCGCTCGAGTAAACCCATCCCGACCGAGTAACGTTAGTCCGAGTTATGACCGCTAAAGAATCTGAACTGACTTAAGTTTTGTGGTGAACTAACGCTGAAGGGATGTTTTCTGCTTTCTCTTTGTTGGCAATATCGATTTGCCGCGCTGGACTGTCAGACACATCCGTACGTACTGCGACGTGCTTACGTAACAAACACAAACGCCCTCTTATTGGTTCCCGTTGTCGAGTTCGTCAGACTACGTAATGAGGACTTATTATGACTGATTTAGTTTTAAAATCTTTGAAAACTTTACTGTAAAACATATAGAAGTTGTTACTATTTGACGTATCTTCTTTTTGTATTTGTTTGTATGTCAATAATTAAAAAAAAATGTGATGTCAATATGTTGTGCTGTAGCCTATAAAATTATGTTGTTAATTTAATGGAGTTATCCTGGGTGCTCCATGAAAGCCTACAAAATCACCCACTAGCCTCCAGACTCTGGTAATCCCAATTCCTATTATTAATTGACAATCAATTAGAATTTATTTTATTTTAAACTTACCCCGCTCCTTAACATTTTAAACTCACATTGTTGTAAAATCAATCCTACACCAAACTATTCTGAACATATTTTTACAGTACATAATCACAATTATACAGCCAAAATAGTGCAATGATGTCTGAGGTAATATTTTATCTGTTTTATGCCGTTTTAGGGTTTCTACTTGGTGAATATAAATGAGTAATTACTTGACACCCAAATGAGAGATTTGTCTTCAAGAAAGATAACCTGACAAGGCAGGGCTACTTCAAGCCACAGTCATTTGGGAACTATATTTAAGTTTCCCTGTAATATTGTATATATAGTTGTTGCTGTGCAGCCCCATCTAGTCTCCAAAACAAACATGTTTAGTCTCCCTAAAATTAAATGTCACAATTAGTATGACGCCAAGCCGTACAAGGCCTCATCTATTACAGTAAAAGCGGAAGCTATCTGAAAACAATTTGGTAGCAGCAAAATCCTATTTGACACTCCAGTGTACATGCATGCATCACTCGGTGAAGAACGTACAGATACCCCAGTATTTATTGGTGCGTTTGAAGCAGTACAGGAATACATCAAAGACAATGAGGCAAGTCACTAAGTATTTTTCACTGCTTCATGCGAAAGCAGAACACAAAGATACACACTGACTTTGAACTAAGCATCTGTAGATTGCATCCATCTGTGTTTATAAGCCTGTACAATATGCAGCACTGGAGATATACACTGCAAACCCCCGTGTCTCAGATGTTATCCAATTATTGCCCCATCTGTTTCTGTTGCATATTTGGCACAGTCTCTGTTGTTGTTTTTGTATTGACTTTCTGTCATCACAAACCTCATCTGTCCTTCGTACTCACACACAAAATAAGCACTTGGACAACTGGCACGTCATTATCATGATCAACAATGAAAAACAAAATGACAAAAGCACAAGAGTTGTATTGTAAATGTTATGAACTTTTGCTGGTGTGCAGATCCTTCTCCATATGCTTCCCATCCACTTGTATGGATAATGCAAGAGGAGTTTGAATATAACCATTGCTCCTCCAGAGGGAATATTTCCTTGTTTTGTTAACAGTCTCTCCACAACAGTCAAATGGCTTCGTTCTCATGGTCAGTCTTTACAGCATGTCCATGGCTGATACGTTTTCCCCTGAACTGGGACAGTCTAAAAACCTCCTGTAGGGGGCGGCAGCTCAGCATTCCTTTCTGGTCTTCACCATCTTGCTGGCGTACTTGATAGGGATCCCCCAGCGTCTCATTAGATAGACATCAAACACATAGGCCATCCCTGGCTCCAGGCCCCCGATCACAGCTGTAGTGACGGCCCGCCGAGGATTCAGCTCCTGGAAATACTTGCACAGAACCCTCTCTGTGTCAGAGCGGGACTCTGGCCCCAGACAGGGTGCAGTTAGACCCCCAGCCTCTGCTTCGTGGTTTCCCAGCTTTCTGCGGTACACGCAGTACAGGCTTCTTTCCTCTGTGCCCATCCAGGCCAGGGTGACACTGTTGCAACCACGCAACCGGTTGAAGGATTTTATCTGCAAGGTGGAGGGCAGAGATGGGACCCCTCTGCGGTGGTAGGCTGAGGAGGTCTGCATTTTGACTGAAGCCATCAGACCTCCTGGTAGAGCTAGGTCTGGAGAATCAGAGATCTGGCCTATGGTAGTTCCTTCTCTCTCCAAGTGGATGAGATAGGAAGGACTTCCCTGGAGCCAAATGTGCGCTAAATCTCCCCCCACAGCCTGGGAGGTCAAAGCGTGACCTTTACTGGACACGGTGACCTTGACCTTTTCACCTCCGCCGCAGCTCTGCAGGGTGAGGAGGCCGCTCTGCTGCAAGCCCCGAGGACGGAAACTGAAGAATTGCTCTGAGTTGGAGCCTCTGTCTCGGAAGGTCACCCACCTCAGCTCCCCTTCTCTTAGCGCGGTGATCGCGGCGCGAGCCTCCTCGTGTGTTTGAGCAAATGTCCCCTTGTACGCCATGCTGGTCCCGTTCAGCCTGTCGATCACAAAGACGTCAAAGTAATACTGGGTGTCAGGCAGGAGCTCAGAGACGGTGCATACACTCTCTGTCCCCTGACACACGCACTGGAGGTCAGCGTACTCATCAGTGAGGGAAGGAGGTGGACTCTGGGGTTCAGGATAAGAGTCCCACTGCTGCCACCACCACTCTTTCAAAATCGGCCACACTGTCACTCTTCTCCTCCTTTCCTTCTTTTCTTGTTTCTGGTCTTTCTCTTTCCTCATGCTCTCTCGTGCGGCACAGAGGCTGGGGTAGTTTTGCTGAGAGTTGACGAGGACACAGTAATCATAACTTTTCTGTGTGTGTGGGAGGCGTGTTACGGAGGCACTGGGCGCCCAGCTGAGGGTGACACTGGTCATGCCAACGCCTAATGTGTGAACTCGAGGGTCAGCTGGGAGCAGAGGGAAGGCGCCTGAGGGCCCCAGGCCTTCGTGGAGGTACACCGTAGCTCGAGTGTTCTGCTGTTTGGAACGCAGTCTCACGATGTAGATGGAAGCGTGGGGGTAGGAAGGACCCCTGTAGGTGTCTACTGCTTTGCCTGTGAAGCTGTGCATTTTCTCCTCAGTCCCAGGACCCCGCCACCACACCTCAGGCATACTCTTTTTGGTGCTCCCTGCGAGGAAGAATTTAAAACACAATTATAAACAAACAATTTAAATTGAAATGTGTTTTGCCTGTTGTTACGTCACTTGGATGTTTAACCTTCACTGTGCAGAATGATGTATGTGCAGAGTGGGACACCTAAACGGGGAAAGTTTCTCTGTTCATTTAGCGTAGGTTTTATCATCACCAGGTGTTTTTTTTACATTTTTCATAGAGCCAGGCTAGCTGTTTCCCCCTGCTTCCAGTCTTTATGCTAAGCTTAGATAATTGTCTCCTGGCTCTAGCTCCATATTTAGCACACGGACATGGGAGTGATAACTTTTGGCAAAGAAAGCAAATGTGTGAAAATGTTAAACTGTCACTTCAAAAACAGTTACCAGTATTTGTATTCATACCTAAAGTGTTGTTATTTTGAAGTACACACTCTTCACTAGAGTGACACAACTGGCAATTATAAAAACCCACCACCGCTCATCTTCACTGTTCAGCTCTCCTCGAGACAAGAAATCACTCCTCAAATGAGACCAAATGTTTCAGAATCAAAGTGAATAATTCAGTCTGGCGATGGGGACCCATGAGCTCAGGGTCTGAATGATTCATGTGTCATTTTATAACTATAATGTTATTTTACCGTGTAGAAAGGCTTGTTTCGTTAACCTGGAAAAGTACTCATGGAGCATTCCAAGGCATATTTTCTTTTCCAGAACCCGTCACCCTCTTTAGGGTTGAAATTTGATTACTTTGGTTTCTCTACTTATTGCTCTGACTTTAGTTTTAGCCTTGTGTTTTATTGGCTGCTCTCTAGTTTGTTTTATTCTTCCGAGTTTATTTGATTTCTTTGGTTTGCGAAGAGCAAAATATTGCAGACTAAGAGCACAGTTTTATTTTATTGCCTATTCAATGTTTGAATCAAGAGTTGGCAGCCCTTTTCGGTTGATGCGTACGCGTTTTATGAGATTTTAAAATCTGAATCCAAAGCCTCATGTAAAATTTATGACAATGTGACAACCAGATACGGTCACACCCACCATCTCTGTCCTTGTCAGAGATAGTGGGTGGCATTTAGAGAAAAAAATAAATAACCTAAAGAAACGGGTCAGGAGGATGTAGGATGAAAATAATATCTGTTTTATCTAGCTGAGAAAGAAAGTCTTGAAAAAACCTAGGTACATAGGCAGGTACGTATCTATACGTGTGACCTAACAGCAGTGGTAAATTAAAGTTATCACCTCAAGGCTGCAAACAGAAAGACAGACAAGCAATGCAAAAACTATATACCTGGTAGTTCTCATGAGTGTACTACAAATTCTGGCCATCAAGCCACACAAGGTTAAGAAAGATTAGAGTCATTGCCCTCTACTAAATCCCTATCTGTTATCATAGTGATGATAATATCTAATTAATGGTCTTGGCTTAGCCAGATGTAGTGATGATCTTCAGGGTAAAGTGGGTGTCTGAAGGTGCAGTTTGTGGTCTTACTGTTCACTCACACTGCAGGCTCTTGAGGGGTTTGTCCTTCAGGGTGCGGGCAGCCAAACTCCATTCGATGGGGAGGTCACAGGGGCTGACAGTCACCGACATTGCCGGAGCCTTCTTCTTCAGCGTGAAGTATAGTCTGCGGAGGAAACACAGAAGATAACGCGCAAGAAGTTGTCTGATTCATCGCAGGGAATGTCAAAAAGATAACATCATGTTTCAATGCGGCTGCAAGGTGATGGATGAGAAGACAAGATATCTTCCAGTGCACACTGAGCAACATTCTTTCATTTTCTTGGATGGTTCGGCGATACGGTGGGCTGCTTGTAATTTTCTTTCCTAAAGCTTTAAGATTTCAACGTTGCAGCTGTTTCAAACATCTGCCAACTGCTGTCTTTCCATTTGCCTACATGCTGATCGGTCCGATCAGGAGAGGTGACCTGGGAATCGCATGATAAGGCTGCATTGACAGTTTCAGATGGATATCTGTCTGTTTGCTGTATCTGGGATCGTGCTTAGCATGGAAACTATTTTGTCCTT